TGTTAGATTTTACTGGAAGGGTGTAGGCCCAACTTAAAGAATGCTACTACCAAATGTTCATTGCAATCGTTGATCTTGTTGTAGGCCGCCCAATACCTACTGGCGTACTTCCTCAGGCTTTCACTTTCTCCTCTTTTCATTGTAAGGAGGATGTCTACCTCTTTTGGTGCTCAGTTGTTAGTGATAAAGCATGAGATGAACGCTTGCTAAAGCTGCCTCTAGTCGTTAATGGAGCGAGACTCGAACTTGTAGTACCATCTGAGGGTCATTTCTCCTAGACTGAAAAAGAACATTCTGCACATGATGAGCCCATTGTTACTCCATAAGGTCATGGCTTACGAGTAATGTTGTTCAGGTCTCCTTTTTCATCATATAAATTGAACTTTGGAGGAGCGAATCTTTTCGGGGGGTCAGCGCTGTCAATGGCCTTGGAGAATGAAAAGGCCATCTCTTTTGAGAAGAGCTTCCTTCGAACTGGTTTCGGACTTCCTCTGGTACGTTGATCAATCCAGCTCCTTAGGTTTCTCTTCAGTAGATCAAGTGAACCGTTATGGTTGGTCTGACGCCTCTTCTGTGTTCGACCAGGGTGGTTGCTGGCCGTCTAGCTTGCATCATCCTTTTTTGTTCAGACGCTTTACCTTCCATGTGTCTTCCGGTCCTCCCTTCTTTTGGCCTACTGTAATTCTTTGAGGGTCTTGATTTGGACGGTGAATCGATTAACTAATTGGTTTTGCCGATCATTCTCCCTTGAAGGGGGGGTTGTGCCTGCCGAGTCTTAGGGTGGTGCTTCAATATCATAGCCAAAGTTTTGGCCGATGAGTGTGTTTCCAATTAAGGTTTGCTAATGATCACTTGGCATCCCTTCTAAAGAAGGTGGGCACTCATCTTCTCGTTGTTCCCACAAACGGCGCCAATTGTGAAAGATGGAATTATAACCACAGGGAAATCGAGATGATGCACTCGATCCTTTGCACTCTGCGAAGAGAAACCAAACGTCAATAATAATTCCCGTCCAGGGTTGGTAGGAAGGATACTCCGACGATCAAGTCAGTACAATGATCGACCAAGGTATATAGTATAAAAAGAAAATATTTCTAGTATAGGTTGTGATTGAGTTTTAGTTAGGTTGACCCACGTACTTGTCCCTTATGCCTTGTTTGCCTACCCTTTTATAGTTATTCTAGCTCAAACCTCATCCGTTGGATTTTACTTTAATCGAAGGGTTCTGCCCAAACCTGGCTTTGGTCGGGCAACTTGCCAAGTGTGCTTTGCCTCAGATAGTTGGATCATTAGTGTATAGATGGTTTAGATGATATCAAAGGCCAATGGCCAACTTACATAGCGTCACGTCCGTAGGATTAAACTGATCGGATGATTTTGCTTCTCATTATGCCCAACCTACATCCTAGTCTTATATGTTCTATGCTCCACATCGTTGGATGAAGGTTTATCCGACGCCTCTCCTTTACTTAGCAAATTTGGTCTTCTAGAAGGCTATCTTTTATAATTGTTTTGTCCCCCACAAGCCTTAATCAGATGATAAGTTGCTAGTTGTCCTTTGTGGGCTTCAAGGGATGCGTTTAGGCTTATCATTTTTGGCTTGGGCTATTGTGACTGGGCTCAAATTTTTTCTAAAAACAATACATATAAATTATTAGCCATTACATAATATTAAAATAATTTAGATCATTAAATTATATTGAATATATATTATATACACAAGAAACAAAACACAAAATTTTACATTTTTTTTATTCTCACTCATAAATTATAAAGACTGCCATAGCGGCATTTATCTTATATTATATATTATTTGTTTTGGTGTTACTAATGATTTTCTTTATAAAAAAAATTATAAATAGAGTTTAATTTTAAAAAATAAATAATTTAGCTGCAAAAAAAATTATGTGCAATTCAGACAACTCGGATCGGGCTTGGATATTCAACTTCATATTATAATTCGGGTTTGAATAGATCTCAACATAATTTGAGTTGAGTTTGAACAACTTCCTAACCTACCATATCCAAGTTGCACCCCTACAAAAATGGATAAGGCCATCCAAAATACTCTCTTAGGATTGGGGCTTTTAAGCCTGACTCTACTGCTTTCTGATTAAAAAAGCCATGACACTAAACAAAACAAATACTTCTAACCTCAAAACGACCCAACATCCAATGGCAGAGAAACAATTGATAAAGCGCACTCACCAATTGACCAATTGAAAGAATTAAGTTTCACCTTTTTTGATTCTACAAAATTTCCATAAGAAATAATCACCTTTATATCTTCTGGTCGATTTCCACAAGGTTGGAAACCCTAATTCTGAGTTTGGAGACTTTATTTGTACTTTTCAAACACATTCAGTCAGTCATTTGGGTCACATGCATGTATCATTCGGGTCACATGCATGTAATAAGGTTAAAAGTTAGTTTGGGTTTTTAACTTTTTAGGACAAATTATCTTTTTATTTTTATTTATTTTTATATTTTTTAAAAATAATTAAAAAATTAACTTTTAATCTATTACCTAAAATAAGTGAAAATAAGGGATTGTTTGGGGTGTCCTAAATAAGTGCACTTTTTGACTTTTTATGAAATATGAGTTGGGTATAGGTTGGGTTTGCAATGATGTGATAGAGAGGTGATGTAACTTAAATAAGATGATATGACTTAAATAGGATAGTGACTTTTTAACTTTTTAAATTTTTTTAAGGATGCCAAACTTGGCCTCATATGACTCACACTTTTTACTAGAGTGGATAGAGACAATATAAGGTAGCGTTTGGTAGAGTTTTGTAAATGTGATTTGAGAGTATGAGTTGTATTTTGAGTTTGTGTGTTGTGGAGTTATGATTTGAGTGTAGAAAATTTGTTTGGTAAAGAGTTTTGAAAATAGTTTTGGAAAAGAGGTTTGATTTGAGTGGGGAATTATTGATGTGACATTTGATATGTGATACAAAAATTTACAACTCATAACTAAACATACAATTCAAAATTATTTTAAAGCACATAAAAAATTTAAAAATTTTCAGAAAATATTTGTCCCGATTATATAAATGAATTGCAAAAAAAAAAAAATCTGTGCAGCAGAGGACATCCGGGCGGATGTCCCTAGGGACGTCCGGGTGGAAGACCCCATGGACATCCGGAAAAAAAAAAAAAAAATTACTGTTCCGGACAGCCGGCCGGTCAACCGGCCGGACGACCGGCCGGACGTCCCCTTAGCAAAAATTTTGAAAAAAAAAACAGAGCAAAAGAGCGGCTGAGACAGATTTGGTACAGAGCTCTCAGCAGAGCTTTTGAAACGTGATTACAAAATCCTAAACAAATATCATACTGAAACACAGGTGTAGAATCACGTTTCAAAAGCACAACCAAACACAGCCTAAATTTTCCGGGTTCAAGATTTTTCTCTTGTGCAATGACCATATTCCGCCTGAGCGAATCCAAGCATGGGTATATTCTTTGCTATTTTCCACTTGATTTTCACACCTTTCATCTCCAGTGTGCAATGAACCTACATGACAAGGAAAAATTGTTAACAGACTAAAAATGTACACGGGAGAGTCTTTTAATGTGTAACATTTTGATTTTGATCATAAATTATATCTCACAATTAATTTTATGGATGTTTGGTTGTATGGTTAATTGTTTAAATTTTAAAATAACATTTTTGATCATTAAATTAAATTTCAACCGTTATTGAGATTTATACAATCATCACTAATTAAACTAAGATAAAAAATTTAGATAGTAAATAAATAAAATTAAAATTTAAGAATGAGATACAAGAAAGAAAAAAAGAAAAAAGAAAAAAAGGTGGAGATAGAAACAAAATTGAATCCATAATAATAAGCATTATATACATGAAAATCTTCCAAATTATTAAGAAGTGTCATTTTGACCTCATAAATTATAAAAGTGTAAAAATAAATTTGTTTGTCACTTAAACTATAAAAATGTACAAATAGACCCCTAAATTATAAAAATACATAAATTGGATCCCTCACGGAAGGAGTCAAAGTGAAATAAGCCAATAGTTTAAAGAATTCATTTGTACGCTTGTATAAATTAGAAGACAAAGTGATACTTTTCAATAGTTTAGGAGTTTCCGTATAAATAACTCTAATAAGAGCATACCCATCAAATTATTTAAAATTTTGTTATATTTTAACTCAAAAGTTAAGTTTTCTATTTTGGCTATACAATTTCCAACAAACTCTCTATTATTTGCCCATGTTATTTAAATATTATTCTTATTTTAAATTATATTTTATAAACTCAACACAAGTAACTCTGAAATAATAAAAATATAATTTTTTTTAATGTTTAACTAGTCAAAACTATTTGTTACATTTGTTGAGTCAAAATTGCTGAAACTTAATTAGTTAACTTAGTAGCTAATTAATGGAGTTAAAATTTAGTAATTTATTTATTATTTTAATTAAAAAATATAAACAACTAGTTTGATGAGCTCTAATAATTAGGAGTGTGCGCGGTGTGGTTCGGGCGGTGTGAGAGTAAAATTTTAAATCAAATGGCGAGTTGACGGATTAACAAAATGCGATTTGGGCGGCTTTTGGCGGATTGACGTATTAAAGAATATTCTAACTAATTATCATACATTTGCATAATATATAACACTAATTTGTATAATATTTTTTAGATATATAACACAAAGTAATTTTATATAATATGTTTTATATATATAACTATTAATTTGTAATAAATTTCATATCTTAAATATCTCACACACTCTTTTCTATATTGATATTTCATTAGAGGTTAAAAAATGTATATGTATTAACTATAGCATAACGGAACGATTCAATTAGTAGATTAAAAATTTTAAAATTTAAACTGTCATTAACGATTAAAACAATATAAATTAATGTTAATCAATACGATTTTAATAAATTAGACCGTATTTTACAGAGTGTTACTAATAATACAAGTAGAACAAAATGACATAAAAAATCCTTGGCCCCGAGCTGAATGGAGAAGGGGTAGTGTCGGAATTTCAAACAGAAACTTTGCCCGTCTCCTTCTCTCGCTTCCTAGCTGTCTGTCTATCTATCATTTCACACCTCACCGCCGGTCGATACACAAAACACACACCTCTCATATTTCTCATTCCTATTTCCTCCTCATTCATATATATATCTTAAAAATAAAAAATAATTTAAAACTAATGAATTGAGCGTGCGACTGAGTAATCAATCAGTAGTCAATTCTCATTGATCAAAATCATCCAAAAACATTCGAAGATCTACACCACCACACTCAAAACCCTAAATTTCAATCGAATCGATCTCATATATTATATATATCTACTAGACTAGCTACGTATGTGTGTATGTGTGTGTGAAGGAAGAGTAGTGAGTTGATTGAGCAATGCGCGAATGGCTCAGTACAGACAATCAGGCTTCGATAGGGTCGCTGTCCGAAGCCACGCCAACGGCTCCTCCGATCACGTTTCCATCGGGATTCGTACTTCTCCTCACAAGCCGCACCGCAGCAACCGCCGCCTCAAGAGCCGCAAGCTCTCGATCGGCGGCGTCATTGTGATTCTCTCTCTTGGTTTCGCCGTCTCTGTTCTCGCTTTTATGTATTTCTCCAGAGACACAGGTCAGTAAAACTTTCTTTTCTAATCGATGTGTATGTGTATGTGTATTATTTTTTTTATTTTATTTTTTTGTTTCTATTTGTTTTGAAACCTGAAAGGAATTCAGATTTACAGTTCGTTATTTTTAGGTTCTGTTTGGTTGCTGAGATAATGTGAGAAAATTTAAGAAACTGCTATTTTGAGTCATTAATTTTTGTCAAAAGTGAGGATTCTCAACTTATTCTAATGTAGATTCTTGAATTAGTTGAGTTGTATGCGAGGACAAATTCAATGCTGAACATAGAACATATATCAGTGAAAATTTATGTGAGCGTTTGTGTTTTCTCTTATGGTGTTTCTATGGAACTGAACTCATAATCATGTTTTATGTTGTTTGGTATACCTAATTGGGCGAAAGACTAGGCTTCATTAAAGCTACCTTGGGTACATGGATTTGGTGAGGATAGGAAAGATAGAATCTGAAGAAAAAAAAAATTGATTTTTCCTTGTCTGTGGAAATTTTAATTTATAGATGTCATTTCTCCTTCTTTTCATGATTTCTTAGTATTTCACACATTTAAAAAAAAAAAATTAAATTTATATATTTTTTTGAACCTAAAGTTGTTTTAAGTAGGAGAGAAATGAAGCATGATGGACAGGGGCGGAGCCAGGATTCCAGTATTGGTCGGGTGAGGACAAGTTTAAACAAGCTCAAATGATTGGGTTAGGACATATTAAAACGGCTTAAATATTGTTAAAGTCAATAAATCATTATTAAAGATAAGCTAATAAATGAATAGAATGCTCTAATTGTTTGTGTTCAAGAATTTGAACTTTAATGATGCAGCACTACAAAAATGCAAATCAAAAGTAATAGCACGATAAAAAATAGATTTCACATAATTCACCTAGAGCATGAATGGTATTGAATTGCAAATTGCACTATGTGCACAGATTTTTGTAGTTGTATTATACCAATGAGTGAAAGAGGGAAATAGTTAAGCGAAAGAGGGAGAATAGAAAAAAATGAGAGACAAATCTGAGTGAAAAGAGTAAAAAGAATTGCCTACCAATTGAATGAGTGAAAAGGAGAGAGAAATAATTACTTGTTTAAGAAAAAAAATACCTTCCATGTGTATTTAAATATAGTATAATGAGTAAATTTTAAACAAACAGTTTACATTTTTCTCTCTTTCTACTTTGATTTATTTCTTTCATTTTACAATGCTTTTGTGTTAGTTTTAGATAGCGAATTTGACTTTTCTCTATTTTTTGATTTGGTTCAATGTGCCATATTTTTTAGTAATTAAGTTTCTTTTAACCAAGTAAATGATGCGCAGTCTTTAGTAATATAGCTCCTTTTACCACAATAACTTAATGGCAGGAACCTTTGATATCCTACTTGTCATCTAGAATTAGTGTGTGAATGAGGCAACAAAATTCCTACCTCAGGTATGGGAAAGCCCAATCAAGAATGGCCTCCTAAGCTAAGCACCTAGCATTGTGGCAGGGCTGGCCTCTAAACTTTTGGGGCCCTAGGTGAGCTCCAAAGATGGGGCCCTCTGTACATAATCACCAAAATATAATGCATAAAATGATAAATACTCACAATTTATTTTTTTATTTTAAATTTGCTGGTATTGACACAAAGTTTGCTTACACATGTAATTACAAAAATTATATACAATCATCCAAGTTAAAATAGGAAGAAAATATCAAAAAAATTTAAAGATATAATAGCAAATAAAAATTGAACTGTAACAAAGTTTCACTTAACATTACTCTTCTCATATTTTTAACTACAAAATTACTAATTAAGCTTACATAATTTAGGTTATCTATACTGTATGCTTTTCAATGGATAACATTTATTTTTGCTCAGGGCTAGGGGATGGAATATCCAAGATTGAGCTTAGGTACGAGTGTGGCTGACCTTAGGGATCCAGTGTTTTTTCACGCACTAATGACCGTTGCTCTTTAAATGGATAACATTACAAACACACTTACTTTTTTAGGCCTTGGACTTTGGATTGGGCCCTTAATTTGATTAAGGCCTAATAAGAAAAGAAAAAAAAAAAATTTTGGCGGGCTGGACATTTGGGGCCCTATCTTTTACCAAAATTTTGGTGTCTTTAAGCAGTGGCCTTGCCAGCCTATTCCCAGGGCCAGCCTTGCATTGTGGAGTTAAATTACCCTATAATAAAGTGTTGCAAATGTTTCTGGCGCATATCTGCTTGCTTGAATTTGTCAGCCAGAATTACTGCATGATCTTGATCTTTGGAAGTATTGAATTTAAGCTGAGGATTTACTGTTTATGTGTTGCTGACTGGGTGCAGAAATAGATGGTTATAATGCTCAGGATGATGACTCGAGTGATTCTGATTTTCTCACAAATGTGACACGGACACAGAGGTTTAAAGTCCTTAAATTTGGCCATGGTTCAGTGGCTCATGGCCGGGATTCTCGGTATTGGGACAAGGATGATAGGAGAAGAGATGAGGATTATAGCGAGGATGCTTTGGAGCATGCTGAGATGGGCGCTCGGGATGAGTCCATTGCTAAGGTTCGTATTTCAAAAAAGGTGAAGAATGGTGCTAAGATGTCTTCTTTTGATGAAGCTAAAGATTCAGATACTAGAGGTGTTGGGCTGTACAATGAAGCTGGTCGTGATGAACTGAAAATGTATGAGGCAGAATATGAGGCCTCTTTGAAGGATGTTGGGGAATCAAGAGAGGAACACAACAACAAAAAACAGCTTCCTAATGATGAACAAGTGGGGATTAAGAATGACGAAGTTGATGTTGATGATGAGTATGATGACGGGATTGATCTGCATGATGCTCAAATGGAAGAATATGATGATTTTAGACTTGACAATGAGGACCATTTGGATGTAGCAAGATCACGTAATATGGATCACCGAAAGTCTTCTGATAAACTTGATACTGGAACCAAAGACCAGAATATTGTGGAGGAGGTGCAGGAAGCTTCCATTGGTACTTCAGACAAACAGTCTACTTTAATCTCTCAACAAACTGATAAAATCAATACAAATTTCAGACATGTCATTGTTCATGAGGATCGATCTGCCAGAAGGTCTACTTCCGAAAGGCGTTCCAAAAAGAAGCCAAGGCGCCGCAAATTTTCTGGTAATTATTTGCAGCTTTCATAATGATCGTAGATATGTTTGCCTATACATATATAAATTCCTGCTTTCACTTCTCTTATAACTGAGTATGGGTTGTGTGTTGTGTTTTCTGGTTAAATGACTTATTCTCATTTGTTTAAATCTCTAAATAAACTAGTTCTTGCTTTTATTACATGTTGGACTTTTGCTACCATAATTACAAGTTCTCTGCCTTTATCTGCTGTTGCCATGTTGCTGCCCGTTTATTGTCTTCCCATTTGTGCCTCGACTTTTTCTTCTCTAGATTATGGATGTTCTTTTGCAAGTTTAACAATGTATGGGTGTTAGTTTAAGAATCTTTGAATTTTCATCAACTTTATAATGCAAATGGATAAAGGATGTTGTACTTGATTTAGTAGTTCTAACAAGTTTTAGTTTATAAATTTGGATAAGTTATCCTAGATGTTTTTTGGTTTTAGGGCAAATTACACAAATAGTCCCTATAGTTTAGGGCTTGTATCACTTTGGTCCTTGACTTTTCAATTGTGACATATTTGACCCTAAATTTTGAATCTTGTTCCAAATAAGGACAATTGAATATATAATTAGATTTTTCAAGGATAAAATTGTCAATTTGATAAAATGTAAACTAATTTGACAAAAATAAATGTTAAACAAATATTTTTGAATTTTTAAAAATTATTTATAACTACTAAAAATAAAATTATGTAAAATTAATAAATCTTTTAGACATTTATTTTTTTTTTTACCAAATTAATTTTTATTATGTGTTTGGATGATGATCATGTAAAATTAATTTTAAAAAATTAATCATGCAATTTTTATTAATTTTACATAATTTTATCATTGGTGGATAAAAATAATTTTAAAAAAATTTAAAATATTTTTTTGATATTTATTTTGTCAAATTAGTTTATATTTAATCAAATTGACGATTTTACCCTTGAAAAATCTAATAATATTTTCAATTGTCCTTATTTGGAACAAGATTCAAAATTTAGGATCAAATGTGTCACAATTGAAAAGTCAGGTACTAAAGTGACACAAGTCCCAAACTATAGGGACTATTAGTGTAATTAACCCTTGGTTTTATCTTCCCGTCTCTTTCTCTCACCCGTTATACATGGATTTAGATCTTAGGTTGGGGTGCGTTAACCTCTAATTGAAGGATATGCAAACTCAGCAAAAAAAAATAATAATAAGAATAATTAATTTGTTTTAAAATATTTTAATCTATGTTGTGGGTTAGAGGTAATATAGTGCCAAATATGTGCTTTACTCATTTGATAGAATTTTAGCAACAAAAGTAGATTTAATGTTAGTGTTAAATACAATTATATAATAAAGTTGAATTGAAGGATATGATTGCTAAGAGCATATATGATGTAAAGGATCAAACGCATATCCCATGTCCTTATAATCCAAGTGTCAAGTGTCCAACATGGCCATTTGATTTATTTTGAATAGTACATCTACCTTATCTGGTGGCAAATGGCTCACTACTGGGTGTCTTAGTGAAGGTGCACCTCTTAGTTCCAAATTTTTACCTTTGGTCCAAGGGACCAAATCTTTGTGGACACATGATCTATGGTTTCATTGCGGCTATTGCTCCTTTTTCTAGGTTCATTGAAACATGTTTCCATCTTGTTGCATGGCAACATAATTTTGATTATTGGACTTGTAATCCTTTAGTGTTGTTAGTATCTTACAATTCACTAATACATATATTACGATTTGATATTTTTAGAGACAAATCGATACGTATCATCAATAATATCTTAAGTTAAATGTATCTTACGATACATATATGATATGTGATGCATTATAAGATACATGATACATGATGCGATACATACGATACATAAATACTTAAATTTCTTTGTGATTTTGAAAAAAGGTAATTGAACTTATTTGATGTAAATTAATATTGTTAAAAAATTTCATAAACTTAAAATATATATATATATATATTTTTTTTGAGATGAGAAGGGTTTTTTTGTCTATCTTTTTGACAAGTATGGTAGTATTAAATATCTTGTGCTATTGTTTATACTTTTTTACACTGGTTAAAGCTTTAAATTTTCTATTATAGACAAGCTATTTAAGAATTTGAACGTTGTAAACTATATAGTAAAACTTAAATGGTGAGTAAAAATAATATAAAAAATATATTACACAATTACTAAGAATGAGAAAAAAATTTTGGGTAAATTTGATTTGAGGATATAATAACATACTAAAGTTTGTGTCACCCAAGGGACTAGTGGAAGTTTGCCCGGTCGTTAATTTTAAGACCTCTAGGGATTACTTCTCAGCTGTCTAGATACAAGGTAACTTGGGCCCAATTTGGTGGGCTGGTTAAGAGATACCCTGGATTATCGAAAATAAAAAAAAAAAAAACTAAAATGTTGATATCCTTTGTTATAGATATTTTAACCCTACTCTGCCTTTTATATGTATTAAGTATTGACGCCTATCTTTAATTCATGAAACCTTACTTTTGCAATTTTAAGGATTATACATTGTTTAGTGTTTTGTTTTCACAAATTTTTGCTTATAACTATATTTATTTTTCTACCTACTTTTAAAGACGTTAAAATATCTTACGATACATGATACAATACGAATGCGATTCAGAAAAACAATACACAATACGTATCTCAATTTGACAACTCCTTATTCCTTAGGAATCCTTCTAACAGTGAGCATTTCAGCATGTGTACCTAATTGACTTAATTTTCTGAAAGGACATCTATTACACAACTTTGTTTTATTTATGAAATTGTAATTGTAGATTGTGTCCTCCTAGACTTCATTAATAGCTGCGGCTATAGGTATTTAATCAGTGGAACACAGTGCAATATGATTCCTTATTTTGAACATAGACTTAATCTCTAACTCCTATTTTTATTAAGAATTTTTTATTTGAAAATTTTTCGTATGGTTTAACATTATTGTCATTTAATTTCAGAATCAATATGGTTTAACATTTGAGTTCAATGCACAGTTCAATGAGTTGCATATTTCAATAATCACAGAAAACATGATTTGGCTACCATTGTGTATATAGTTTGCATATATAATTTGCTTTTTATTATATTCTTGATTTGTTGAGTTATATGAGTGTCTCACAATTTGCATAAACATCTTCATATGTGTGGATATTGATTACTATGCGCATATTCTTGGGTGCAACCCCCCCCCCCCCCCCCCCCCCCTCCTAATTTGCTTTTTATTATATTCGTGATTTGTTGAGTTAGTGAGTGTCTCACAATTTGCATAAACATCTTCATATGTGTGGATATTCATTACTGTGCATAAATTCTTGGGTGCAACACCCCCTGTACACCTTTGGGTTATTGTTATGTGAATTCCACCAAGTCTAGGGGTCTATAGGGGTATTTCAACAGATCAATTTGGTTGTTCGCTTTTTCTCAATTTCTTTTTTTAAAGCCTGAAATTGGTGATACATAAATATTTCAGGTTCTTGTGAGATGAAGTTTTTGAATTCTACATCACAGCTCGTTGAACCTTTAGAAAGTCGAAAATTTTCAAGATTTTCCTTGCTGTATACAAAAGTAGAAGAGAATTCTGATGGACTAGAACAGTGGGAACCCAGATTTGCTGGGCATCAGAGTTTAATGCAACGGGAAGAATCATTTTTTGCACGTGACCAGACAATAAATTGTGGCTTTGTGAAAGGTCCTAAAGGATCCCCAAGTACAGGATTTGACCTGGCAGAAGATGATGCAAAATACATTAATAGTTGCCACATTGCTGTGGTTTCTTGCATCTTTGGAAATTCAGATCGATTGAGATCGCCCATGGGTAAAACGGTACTCATTTTTGTTCTATCCGCTGGTTTACATAACTTTTCCATCTATTTATAGTTCAGTGAAATAATAGCCTTTTCATTTTCTTCATTTGGCATCTTGTTATCCTTCTTGGGAGATGTCTGAAGTTTTATGTTTGTGTTAAGCTTTTTTATGGTAATCACATTCATACTTGCATAGAGATTTACTTTTCAGTTCCTCTTAATTTTTAGGTCTCTCGTTTGTCGAGGAAAAATGTCTGCTTTGTTATGTTTGTGGATGAAATTACTTTGCGAACTCTTACTTCGGAAGGCCAGATGCCAGATACAATGGGTTTTGTTGGTTTATGGAAGATTGTGGTGGTGAAGAATCTGCCTTACACTGACATGCGCAGAGTGGGAAAAATACCGAAATTCTTGCAACACCGACTTTTCCCTTCTGCAAGGTATGTGGACGACTAATTGAAGTAGTGAAATCAGTTACACAGCTTTGTTACTGTAGTTGTTGCTTATAAGACTTTCTTCCAATGAGATTAATTGTGTGTATCATAGATTCTCTTTAAAACTAATCTGATAATGAGTGGCATAAGACAAGTGGAATTGCATGTTTTGGGAGATGATGTTGGCTGCTCTTTCTTTCAATTGTTGTTTTGGCCATAGACTGAATGAAAACAAAAATCTTGTTCCTGTAGATGAGAATGATGTCTAAAGCTTGAATCTGATCTCTATTCTCATTTTGTCTTGTGTTGGTAAGCTAGCCTTAGGAAATTGACATTCTGGTGGGTTTAGGCCACATGGAACTGTTTAGTTTGGGGTTTTGAAAAGGTATACAGAAGGGTGTGGGGTTTTATATCTGAAGAATTGAAGTTATCAGGTTGTTGGATTTTCAGAATTGTGTTGCTCGAAGGCTTGGAAGGGTCTTATTTCCGGTTTTAAGGATTTAAATGAATGGCCAAAATGTAGGGATTTGTTTTTAGTCTCTTCCCTTCAAGAGTTCAGCAAAATCACCAAACATAATTTCAAAGTGTCCTTGTGTCTCATGTCCATGCCTCTTAGCTCTGTAGGATAGTTGCTTGTAAATAATTTATGGCATTCTATCCAACAGCAATATTGGTAGTTCTAAGCAGTCTGTATGTGCATTGCCTCCTATTATAGGCATTGAATCTTTTTAAATTGTATAAACAAGTAGAGGGCATCAAGATTATCATAAACTTTCAAATATGACCATTCTCTTTGATTCTTCATTAGGAGTGCATCTTTTTATTTTTGAATGTGTCAGGGTTGAAAGTGAACTTAGCAAATTAGTAATATCATTTTATAAGGGAGGTGAAGGATGACGTGATATTTGTAGTCAACTTGCTTTGCATGGCTGGGATTCTTATCTTGGCTTACAGTAGGGCTTGTTTCTCAAGAACAATTTTGTATCATCAGACTCAGTGGTCAAAATGTTTAAGAAGTGATCTGTAGGATGAAAACCACCATTTATTCAAGGGGGAGGGCTTACACATTGAGAGTACTCTTTGAAGCCTTCCGAAGTATTGCGTTTGAATTTTTAACACGGAGGGACTACTTGTGAGGGTAGAGATTGGAGGAATTGCGGAGGGACTACTTGTGAGGGTATTTGGGTAAGGTTACAAAAATAGGATGTTGGAGAAGCAGTTTGTATCCTATTATAGGCATTGAATCTTTTTAAATTGTATAAACAAGTAGAGGGCATCAAGATTATCATAAACTTTCAAATATGACCATTCTCTTTGATTCTTCATTAGGAGTGCATCTTTTTATTTTTGAATGTGTCAGGGTTGAAAGTGAACTTAGCAAATTAGTAATATCATTTTATAAGGGAGGTGAAGGATGACGTGATATTTGTAGTCAACTTGCTTTGCAAGGCTGGGATTCTTATCTTGGCTTACAGTAGGGCTTGTTTCTCAAGAACAATTTTGTATCATCAGACTCAATGATCAAAATGTTTAAGAAGTGATCTGTAGGATGAAAACCACCATTTATTCAAGGGGGAGGGCTTGCACACTGATGGCATGTTTGATTGGAAGGATTAGAACATGGGATTGGGATTATTAATCCGTGGGCCCAATTATCTCATGTTTGTTTTGATATTTGTTTTAGGATTATTAATCCAATAGATAATTAATCCAACAAATTTGTAGGATTATTAGTAATGGGGTAGGGGTGGGATTGTGAATACCACACTAATTTGATAGGATTATTAATACCTCACTATTAGTCTTGTGGAATCAAACATGGCCTGAGAGTACTCTTTGAAGCCTTCAGAAGTATTGCGTTTGAATTTTTAACACGGAGGGACTACTTGTGAGGGTTGAGATTGGAGGAATTGCGGAGGGACTACTTGTGAGGGTATTTGGGTAAGGTTACAAAAATAGGATGTTGGAGAAGCAGTTTGTATGTGAATACATGCATTTATAATGTCATCACATAATTATATTAGCAGATTTGCCATTGTCCATTAATAAATAATCTGTTATACCTTGACATGGTAGTTCTTTTAGTAATTCTTAATTTTAGCAATTGTCATTATTGAATTTAGTTCCTACTTCCTCGTTGCAGTTCTCATTACCATTGTCCATTAATATACCTGGACCTGGTTCATTGATGCTCTAAAGCTGGTGTAAGTCTGGGAATAAGACAAATAAATTGGATAAACAATGCTTGTCAGTTTAGTCATTTATGTTAGCAACCTGTAGTGGACAACTGTCAAGTTCATTGAGTAGAGACATTCATGTGTAAACTCTTGCATTTTAGTATGAGATTTGGTCTTTGGTAACCTGTTCCTTTAGTATGATCTACCAAGAACCTTGTTATAGTACAAGTTGCTTATTCATGGAGTAGCGATATGGTTGCTCTCTAGTGACTTGGGCATCATGAGTTCAAATCACATAAACAGTTTCTCCCTTATGCAGGGGTTAGGTTGTATAAATGAGACCCTCCCCAGACCTGGCAATAGTGGGAGTCTCATGCACTGAGACAACCCCCTCTGCCCCCCCCCCCCCCCCCCCCCCCCACCCCCCTCCCCCCCCCCCCCCCCCCCCCCCCCCCCCCCCCCCCCCCCCCCCCCCCCCCCCCCCCCCCCCCCCCCCCCCCCCCCCCCCCCCTTTTTTTTCCTCTTCCTCTATAGTGTCTATGCTTAGAATTTTTGCATGCAAAATCTTTTCAGGTATTCTATTTGGCTGGATAGCAAACTACGTCTCCAACTTGACCCTCTACTCATATTGGAATACTTCCTATGGAGAAAAGGTTACGAGTATGCCATTTCCAATCACTATGACCGGCATTGTGTATGGGAAGAAGTGGCCCAAAATAAAAGGCTTAACAAGTACAACCATACTATCATAGATCAACAATTTGCATTCTACCAGGCTGATGGGCTGAAAAGATATGATGCATCAGATCCGAACAAGCTTCTACCGAGCAGTATGATTTTTGTTGCTAAGTTCATTATTGTGAAACTTACAGCTTGAGCATATTTGTTTCCATTCCTAATCTATAACATGTTATCTGTTCCTGTGTTGTTGGCAGATGTACCGGAAGGCTCTTTCATTGTGAGGGCTCACACACCTATGTCAAACTTGTTCTCTTGTCTTTGGTTTAATGAGGTAGATAGGTTTACTCCTCGTGATCAGCTAAGTTTCGCATATACATACCGCAAGTTGAGAAGGATAAATCCTGAAAAACCTTTCTATCTCAATATGTTCAAGGTGAGAAATCTTGTAAATTAAGCTTTTACAGGCTATGAATTGAAACCTAACGCTAGCTGTTGAGAAGACTATTTGTTAATTCCCTTACGTTGCAGGACTGTGAGAGGCGAGCCATAGCTAAGTTGTTCCATCACAGGTCAGAGGAGAGGAGAGCAACATTGATCACAATGTGACGAAATAATGTGCTTGTGTTGTTGACATTCACATCGGAAAGAGGTACTTTTTGTTTATATATCATACCTGACAACAATCTTACTGGTTGATTGAAGGAGGTTTGTCCTGCAAACAAATTGCTGAAGTGGTGGTTGCTTGGATTACAAATTTGTAGATCGGGGGTTGAATTCATAAAATTAGATCAAGCAACCTCAGTTTGCTGGCCCCTTTTTTTCTGCAGAAAAAAGATTAGATGAGATTGGAATTAGTGTCGTCTTCATTGTATTAATTACACTTTTCATTCGTTTCATTGGTTGGAGAAAAGACAAACATCCCATACCTAATGATGCTTGGCTGTGGCTCTCTTCTGCTATTATCTATCTCGTGTCAAATAGGTGTCATTTTGTTGTCGGTGAGAGTTTTGAGCTATCGTTCAGAGCTTTTACAGTATATAATTTGGCAATTTGATTTTGGTTGTATCAATCGATGATTGCGTGCCTGCCTGTTGAGAAATGTGATTGGATCTACTACATTGTGACTTGCTATTTGCTGCTGCTACTTACATGCCTTTTATTTATTTATTTTATCTTTTTGAGATTGGACCCTACCAGCTTGGTGAAACTGACGCCCTGGCCTTCTTGATGGTCATCCTGCTGCTTATTGGGCTGCAGGCTTTGGTGTTTTTGTTTTTTTTTTTATAAATGTTTGTTTGTTTTTTAATGTTTGTATCAATTAGAAGTGCAACTTGGGCGTGCTGAATCCGAGCAGCTAAGCTCAGCCCAAATTTTTTTAGGGCTTCAACAAGATATTTTTGAATTCGATACGGATTTGGATAAAAATTCGAAAGTTTGAATTAAATTTGAACGTAAAAACATTAACCAGCCCGAGCAACTCGAAATCTGAATTATATATATAAATATTTCATATAAATATAAATTATTAGTTATTATATGATATTAAAGTAATTTATATGGTTAAATCATACTTAATATATTATATATATACGTAATACAACACATAATCTTATTTTTTTTATTCACTCATAAATTGTAAAAATTATTATAGCGGCATCTCTCTTATATTATATAAATTATTTGTTTTCATATTGTTAATAATTTTCTTAAAATATATATATAAATAGAACCTAATGCCAACAAATTAATAATTTAGCTAGAAAAAAAATTGAAATTTATGTACGACTAAGGCAATTCGGGTTTAACTAGGATGGTATTGGTCAAACAATCTTGGGTTACAATTTAAATTTCGGCAAGCTTGAGTAGGTTTTAACACAACTTAAGTTGAGTTTAAACAATCTCTCAATCCACTTGAGTTGCACTCCTAGTATTAATCATATAATTTTATGAACACTTTATTATTTTATCTCACGCATAATACAAGTTTAACCATTAATTAATATAATAAAAACGAGAGATAACTTTCTGGTATTGAGCTTGTATTTCACAGGATGTTTTAATTTTTGGATTTGTAATATCACTAGTCATTCTGTCGGTGCCACAGATCTGATATCAAGAATGAGGATGTCGCACGAGAGAAACTTTAAAAATTGAGTCTAATATACAATTTATTAGAACTTAAAGGGCTGCAATTTCTTTTAATCATTTTATCTGTCGTGGTACTTACTGTAATAGATTTTATTTGATGTATGGGGAGAAAAAAAGAAAAAGATTGAGAGCTGTAATTGGTGTGTTTTGGAGGAGCTTTAATTGGTGTGGTCTATTTTGTGATATAATGTTTTGTGCTAACTTCTTTTCTTTTCTTTTTTTTTCTTTTCTTTTTTACTTTATCATATCACTAAAGTTTAAATTAAAATTTTAAATTTAGAGCTCCGGATTATTTTCCCGAGAAAAAATTCATTGCAATAATGTGTCTGTTTGGTACAGCTTAAACGCTGCTTATTTCAGCTTTCAGCTTAATTTAAGTTATTTTGATGTGTTTGGTTTAACTTAACAATGCAGCTTATAGATTTTTGTAAGTCAGAAATCAGCTTATTCTTTTAGTGGGGCAGGAGATACTTAATTTATAAATCCGAAATCAGCTTATGTTCATAATTATAAGCTATAAACTGTTAAGGCATAAGTTATAAGCACTTTCTCACAGTTCTACCAAACAGGATCGATGTCCTAGCATTATCCATTTGAAATATCTCCAATTTAGGTTAGGAGTATCTTTTCTATTATATAAATTGCATTTTTTAGTTGATGTGCATCTTGTCACTTCTTTTCTTTTTCTTTCAAAGAATATCCTTCCACTCAGTTACCGTTACAATAATTTTCCTTTATAATTGGTTATCAATTATTTTATTTATTTATTTAGAACAGTTATTCTTAGATGTCATTTATTGATGAATCTCTTTTTTTCTTGTTTATATTCTAGTTAATTTAAATTAATTTTTTATATTTCATTAAGTTTTATAAGTGATATAATTATTAAAATACTCATAATAATAATAAGGTGAAACGCACATTAATGTTCATGTTAACAATGTAAATGTTTCATGATGTGAACATTCACATTATCAACATGAACATTCATATTATTAAATTTATTTAATGTGAATGTTTACATCATCAATTTGCTAAGAGTTTAAAAAATATTTGTAGTGGTAAAAGTATCTATAAAATACCTGAGCTGTGCTTGAGACCTCCAGTCTCCAACCACCCCCACCACCCCCCACACACACGTAGGGGTTGGTCATTGGATCCAAAAAAAAAAAAAACAGAACAATCACAGCCCACTGGGGGCTTGGGGCATTTTCCTTTCTAAAAGGTAGAACCTATCACACTCCACTGGGGGCCTTGGGGGTCACCCCCAGTAGGGGTCTTAGGCATTAACCAAAATACCTTAAATATGAGAATTAGGATGTGACGGATCAAATGTTTAAAATAATAGGACTTATTGAAATGGAAAAATATATTATAGACTAATTATGATACAAGTACTTAACATCGAATTTTCTAATAAATTTCTCTATCCTTAATCATTTTTTTTTTATCAGCAAAAGAAATTCTTTATTGATGATAACATAACAAAATACATTATGGTATACATCAACAAGGAGGGGAGGCAAGAGCAAAAAATATCAAAGCAAACCTTCCTAATTCCAACTAAATTGGCACCAAAAAGAATACACAATCATCTGCCAGCTCAAGTCAAAAGGTTAATGAGAAACCAACCAAAGAGGAATAAACAAAAACAAAACACAAAACAACAAACCAGTGGAGCAGAACTCCAACTCAGACACCAATACTCTAATACAGCAGCAGACTTTTCACCAAGAGCAGAACACATATAGTAGACCAGCAGACCACCAACTGCAGACCAGACACAAAACCTCCCTAATCACCACCTGCAGCAGCCAAACAAGAAGCCAATTCAGACCAACAACCAATTCAAACAACTACCAAACCACCAGACTTGAGCTACATCTACAACCAAAACAGACTTGATCCTCTGACAGCAGCAACCAGCAGAGGTTGAAGAAGTCACTATTCAGACCATTCAAAAATAAGGAAGTTACAATCTAGTTTTGTGGATCAGACTTATTTATCAAAAAGTTCAACTACATCATATTTTAATACAAATAAATCAAAATTTATAAAGAAAAGTCAAAATATCTCAATTATTTATCACTTTGATAAATTTATCAATATCATTACTTGTACTAAATAATTATTTCACAAACACAAAGTATATCTAAAAAGTCTCAAAATTTTCTCATTATTAAAATGATGGGCAAATATATAAATATATATATATATTCAAAACTTATAAGTAAATCAATCCAGTTAATAAGTCACTGTTTGGAAAAAAACATATTTTAGTTAGTTTTTTGGAATTCAGACTTTTTTAAATTGAAACTAAAAAGTTCGTTTGGTAATTTTTTTTTTTTTTTTTTTAACTGTTGTGAGAAAAAAAGTTTTTTTTTAACTTTTGTGAGAAAAAAAGTGAATTGATTATGATTTAAATGTGATATTTTATTTTATTAATTTATTTAACTTATTTTATCTTTTGTGTTTTTTTTAGTCCCAACTGAGATAGCCAAACAAAGCCTAAGACCTGCAAGTGCTATACCTGAGCTACTTTCATTAACTATATTATTTTAGAGAAATTATTCATAAACAAAATTTTAATACCAAAAAAAAAAAAAAAATCATCTCAAATTATATGGTATTGCTATTTTTAAAATTATGGTCCATAATCGTTGGAGTTGTAATAAAATTATAAATCATAATCATAGGTGTCATTTTTGTATACACATTATTTCATAAAGTCTGGGTCTTCTCATCATTTATTGTAAGGTTTATATTTCATAACAAATTACCCCCTAATTTCTTATGCAAATATAGCATTTAGGGGGAAATTCGTAATTTCTCAAACCTCAGGGGGGCATCTGTAATTTAGCCAAACCTCGAGAGGTGTATATGTAATTTGCCCTATTTTTAAAATTATGGTCCATAATCGTTGGAGTTGTAATAAAATTATAAATCATAATCATAGGTGTCATTTTTGTATACACATTATTTCATAAAGTCTGGGTCTTCTCATCATTTATTGTATGTCAAATAAATGCAAAGACTTACAATATTCATTGAAGAAAATTTATTTACAAATAAAATTTTTACACATAAATCTCATACAAATTGTGACAATTTCATAATCTTGAACTACAATAATAAGTGTTTTAAATTAATTAAATAAATAAACACCCTTCGGAACCATGAATTGGTATTTTATCTGTTACATATATATTTTATTTTAGTTTAGTTTAGTTTTTTAAATTGAACCTACACCCTTTTGATACAGAGATTAATGGGCCAAATGGCATGCAAACTAAGCAAATTATACAGAATTTTGGTTGTCTCACTTCAAAACAAAAAATTCATAAATATGACTCTTAATTACATACACACACCCCAAAAAAAAATTGTATAATTGCTTCGTAAAATTATAATTTTTGAGGTGTTAAACAACAAACTCAAAGCAACTTTGATCACCATGTTCGTTTCTTAATCGAACGTTGAGAATTAAGCGAGAAGAGCTTCTTCAAGACCTTCATGTACACCACCACGACGCTAGACTTCTTGCCGGAAAACACCTGAACACGGCCAAACTCCGCCACCTTCCCCGCCGGTGACATTTCTGAATATTCCAACTTTGACCCATAAGTTCTAGAAATCTCTTCATTCAGGTCCTCCCATAACATGTCCATCTTTTCCTCTCCATCATCTTCTTTTCCCGCCTTCACGCCTCGCTCAACGTACGAAAAACTCTTGCTCTGCTTATTGCCAATTGGTTTTTCTGTCGAGAAACTTTCACAATCTTTATGATGAGAATTTTGTTGTTGTCGTCGTTGTTGTTGGTGGCGAGTGGGGGTGGAGGTAGAAGAAGAGCGGTGTCCACAAACGGCGGTGAGCGATGAAAAGAGGAGGAGAATCAGTGGTTGTTGGGAAGCTGAAGTCTTCTGAAATGGCCATGGTTTTGGTTGATTAGGTCATGGTAAATAAGAGCATTGTGGTATGGGATGGGAATGATAGGGGTATTATTGTTGTTGTTGTTGGTTGTTTGCTTTTTTTGTTTTCTTCAAATTTTAGGTCAACTGCTTCAACTAGTTATTATTTTCTCTATTATTTCATGGATGTAGTTGGGTGGGTGCCACATTTTTTTGGGAACACAAGGCAAGATTGACAGCCTCTGTGCAACGTTAAATCGTTCATGAAAATAATCATAAAAAATTTATAATTATTAAATTATATTTAAAATAAAATATTATATATTAATTAAGGTAATTTAAGAATTATAATTCTTTCATGATCATTTTTATAAAAAAAAATTCATAATCCCTAACTTTTCTCTTGAAGGATATAAAAAAATTCTAATTGCATCACGTATAGAATGATTGGAGTAGAAATAAAACAACAAAAATTATATGTCCTAAAAATCTCTGTATCTCTTTTATCAATGCATTTTTAATCGCATGATCTTACAAAAAAAAATTGCAAAAATAATATTGTAGTTGAGTAATTTAAGTTTTATGTGAATTAAAATTTTAAAAATTTTAATATAATTATGGGTTGGTTTGGAAAGTGGGTTAACTTTTTGACTTTTTGACTTTTTTTGGCTATTTTAGCCTGGGCTAAAAAACTTGATTTGGGAAGGATTTTTTGATTTTTTTGACTTTTTTTTTAGAGAAGAGTGTAATGATTATGGGTTGGATGTGATGTTTTGTTTGTTGTGACTAAAATAGCCTATTTTATCTTTTGTGACTAAAATAGCAAAAAAAAACCCCCACAAAACCACTTCCCAAACGGTGCCATCAAACTTGTAAAATTTACTCTTTTTTTTTTTTTCAAAATTTAGAGTGGTGTAGTATTTTATCTATGTAAAAAAGGACGAAGTAAAATAAGCAAATAAATATAATTTAAGATAACTCCAACAAGTAAAAGGAAAAATAAAATATTAAGAAATAAATAAATAAATTGAATAAAAAAGATATAAAGATTCTAACCTTAAATATTAAAATAATTAAATATTAAAATAATTGAAATAAAAGATATAATTACTCCCTCCATTCCAAAATATTAATTTCTTATTCTATTTTTTATTGTCCTAAAATATTAACTCATTTTCAAAAATTAAGGAATAAAATAATATGAATTAAATATTTTGTCCTTTTTTAAATTTTTTAATAATACAAAAAATTTGATTATGATAGTTAATATTTTTTAAAAAATATACTATCAAGGATAATATCTGGTTGTAGTTCTCTATATTGCAAATACTCTTATTGTTTGATTAAAAAAAATAATAAGAAGAAAATCTTTTCTTTTAACAATTTTTAATCAAAATAAAAAGGATAAATTTTAAATACATTCCCTAAGATTCGATTAAAATATGAATTACATCCTGTTATTTGGAAAATTACATTTCACTTCTTACGATTTCTAATTTTATAACAAATCGCTCATTTTATTAATAAATTGTCAAATCAATTAACACTTTTTAATGAGATTAAAATATATTTCAATTAATAATTTAAATAATTTTATTATTATATAAAAAAGTAATTATAAATTTTATTTAATTCTATTAGATAAAAAAAACTTAATAAAAGAATATTTATAATTTTTTAAATTATAAAAAATAATTTGTATTTTAACATATCTCTTACCTCAAAATTTTTCAAATGTAGCGGAGAGAGGACCTACCAGAACGTTCCAGACACAAAGAAAAGAAAATATATATAGTGACAATACATGACATGACATGTGATCTACCGCCGGATTGAACGGCCAAATTATTGCGAAACCCTGGTTTTGTCTTTTCTACAATTTCTCAGTGTTTCCGATAAAATGAAGATTGATAATTTCGTCTGGCAGACTCATTTGGATGATTTTTTGTTTTTTGTTTTTTTTATTTTTATTTTTGATAATTTGAATTATTTATTTTTTAAAATATATTAAGTAAATTATATTTATTTAATTAATTTAATTTTTTATAGGTATATTTTATTCAATTTATTTTAAAAAATAAATAGCAAGTTATTCACAAGTCATTTTTAAAAAGTATGAGTATTTTATTTAATTCCAAAATCTTTTAGATAAACTCAAAAATCCTACATTCATTTATCTTCTTTTTTCCTACACCTTGTTTCTTCTCTTTATTTTTTTTATTTTTTATTTTTGATATCGGCGACGACGACCACGACTATGACCACGCATTTCTTCTCTTCTTTTTTCTTTTTTTTTTTTTGTCTCTTTCTAATCTACAATAATCGGCGACCAGTATTGATTGGGGTTCACGGGCAATCACTAAGTACCAACTCTTTGCTTCATGCTCAACGACGGCAAAAGAGATGGATTTCTAATGAAGAAGATGAGTTTCTAACGAAGAAGATGAGTAGATCCACTCAAATCTAAAGTAGATTTACTCAGATCTACATCAGATCTAAGTAGATTTACTTTAGATCCGGTTAGATCTAAACTAAAAAATAGTTGTTGGAGTACAAACATCTAATAAGGATAAACACTTAATAAAATCATACTTTAAAACTGTAAAATATTACAGTTTCAAAACTTATTTTTCAATTTGATCAATATTGAAAATTATTTACTTAAACCCTACAAAAATTGAAAATCACATCATGTTTTTTTCTATTGTTATAATTTGTTGTTCTTAGTTTTTTTTCTTCTTTCGGTTTATCTATATTTAGCACATTTTGTTATGTTTTTTCACTTTAATTTCTCAATTTATTTTTCTTTTTTCAACAATATTTTAAGTATTCCGGTGAATCTCCAGTGATATTCTTGACGTCCAGCGAACATTTTATACATTTCGACGACTTTTAATGACATTCAGAATGTTCTGGCGATGCTCTAGTGAATTTGCGATGATATTCCGGCGACTTCCTAGTGATGTTGAACATTTCGGCAAGTCTCCGATGACCGTCTGACGGAAGTCTGGCGATGGTGGAATATAGTAGTGTCTTTAAAAATAATTTTTTTTTATAATAATTAAAAATATATAAGACTAATTGATACAAGTGTTTTGTTTTGAGACTAGATAGATTTTGAATTTTATGTATGAGACTTATAAGTAAATTCTCTAAAAATAAATTGTTCGAATTATTAAAATTAGACTCGAAGTGGACCTTATTGAGTGCACAGTAGTGAGCAGTTATCCCTCTTGCCTTATTAAATTGATGAAAATATTATCGATATTCAATCAAATTTAATTTTTTTAAATATGTTCTAATTGATGTATTTAAAAATAATAATAAATTATTAAAATAAGACCCGACGGAGACCTCATCGAACATACAACAGTGAGCAATCACCCCGCTTTTTTTGTTTTGAAACTTTATTGTGTGGTTTATTTCTTTCTCATCATACGACTCTTTCATAAATTATTGGACTAGTGGGCTGGTAATTTCTTCTTTATTATTATTATTATGACTGCCTTAATTAACTAAATTAATTTAAGTTACAACTAAAAAAATATAATCTACTACCCTATAAAGTATAATAAAAAATCTTTTCAATTATAACTAAATATATTTTCTCTTATAATCAAAATAATAATTATAGTATATCGTAACCATCAAATTGAGTCATCACAAACTCTATTTTTTGGTATGTATCCTAAAATTTGTTTAACGCTCCATTTGTTTAGGAAATTAGGTGGAATTGGAATTAAGATAGAGGTGGGACTTATGTTTGTTTTAAGAGAAGTGGAGGGGACTCCTAATCCCTTGATATTAAGATAAGCCTTAGAGAGGATATTTGGATAGAGGCTTGGGACTTGTATTAAAAAAATAGTTCGTCTAATTAATTTTTTTTATTTTTTACATGTTGGTCACTTTTTTTTATTTTATATAAAAATAATTTAATAATCCTTACACCAATAACTATCGTCAAAACAAACCTAATTTTACTTAGCCTTCGTTTGGGAAGTGGGTTGGCTTTTTAGTTTTTTGGTTATTTTAGCCTGGGGCTAAAAAGTCTGGTTTGGGAAGGACTTTTTGACTTTTTTAACTTTTTTTGTGAGAGAGGAGTGTAATAATTATGAGTTAGATTTGATATTTTATTTTTTGTGACTAAAATAGCCTATTTTATTTTTTATGACTATTTTAACCCCTAACCCACCAAAACCAACTTCTCAAACTATGCCTTAATTTCTTCACTATCAATCCTCTTATTAATAAACCTTTCATTATTAATTTCATCAGTACGAATCTTTCTCTAAAAATAAACTGAGCGTAATAATAATGAGCTTTCCAAGAAAGGGACTACTGCACCACTATACCCCAACGCACACGTAACGCCAATTATTCTCAATTACGTCTATTTCATAGATTTGAATATTCTAACGCCCGCTTCACTCTCAAATTTAATTCTCTAATTTCATCAAATATAAAAATTTAAAAAGTTATAGAAAAATAACAAAAAATATATACAAAACATGCTTAGTTTGAAAAAGATAAACAAACTGATATACTTTCTTATTTTTTTTTATCTTGGATTGATTTTTTTTTAAAAAAATTCATAAATAATTATTTCTTAATAATGTGTTTGATTGAGAGATTTAAGAACAGATTAAAAAGAAAAAGGAAAAAAATATGTGAAATTATGTAAAATGTAAGTATATTTTAATTATATTTTATCTTTCTTTTCTTTTTCTCAATCTAAATTTTTTCACAAATTCTCCAACTAAACACTGTGTAAATACATTTTTAGTGTACTTCTAAATAATAAATGAATAAAATATTACGAAACAAGTGCCTTACATGGTGGGTTGTCAAGTTTTTAGTAAACTTTTCGTACCATTTTTTTTCCTTTTCTAAAAAGAAATAATTTTAGTTAACTTCTCTAACCATTCCCTTTTTTCTTTTTTGGTAAACCCTTTTTTTTTTTTTTTTTTGGCATCCACTCTTCTGTTCTCTGACCATTCAGGTAGGGATTAACAAATACTTTTCTTTATTTTTTTTTAACTTTTTTAGATGGAAAAAATATATATATATATATATATAGTTAAAAAAACTTGTACATTTAACTAGTGTTTTTTTTATTATTATTATTAAAAGAAGTAACTGAAAAAGCTCCTGCCAAAATCAGTCAAAAAGGGAACCGAGAAAGTATTCTTTTTGGGGTTTTTTTTTTAAGCTCCCTAATAATAACAATTTTCTGCATAAAGGACATTACAAAATGTAATACTGCCTTAGGTCCCTAACCAAAATATCAGCTCATTTTATCAATTTCTTGGACCAAAATACCCTACGTCTGTTGGATATTCTCCTTTGTCATGCTGGTACTGGTGTTGGGTATTTTCCGGCGAGTAATTTTAATCTTCAGTGATTTTTTTAAAAAAAAATTAACTCAATTTCTATTAAGAAAAATTACCGATAAATTTTATTTTGCAGTGAAGATTAAGCATCAAATCCAATCAAATTTCAATACGAACAATTAAATCTTTTTTTTATTATAAATTGTTTCAAAAAAAGTTCACCTCTTCATAATAGTATATTTTATTCCAATTTTATCCTTCTTAAAATATGAACTTATAATTTCATAAACAAATTTAATTTATTTAAAATTTTATAATAAAAGATTCTGAATTGTTGAAATAAAATATTTTCTAATAAATAAAAATATAAATGTAAGATTCATTAATTATCTTACGCATTGAGAATATATAATCATAACTTCATTGATGAATTTTTAATACAACTTCGCCTTTTTGGAGTGTTTACCATAAAAAAATTCATAGTTTCAACCAACAGAAAATGATGAATTTTATACCATAGTTCTTTCGATCCAATAGTTACTCATAATTTTTTTTAATATAATTTTTATAATTTGTATAATTAAAAGATATAATTTGAAGTAAATTAAAATTATTTATAAAATTGTTATTCACACTTAAGGTAAAATTGAAATAAAATTCACCGTTATAAAAAATTGAACTTTTTTAAAATATTAAATAAAAAATACGACTTCGTCCATGATGAAACTTGATGGAACTAATTGGTAATTTCCCCATGAATTAATCAGCCATTGCCAAACGAAAATATGCTTTTAAAGTTTTTTTGGGCTGAAATTGCACCCCCAAAAAATGACTATTTAGGGCATTGCCAAACAGAGTCCTCTCCCTCTTGACATTTTTCTAAGCCACCTATAATTTCATAAAAATGTGCATGTATCAATTGAAGAAAACACTAATCCATAGCTATGAGGCTGTTAGATGCAACTTAAAAATTGATAATCAGAGTACACAAGTTTAAGAAAAATGCTTCGGACCCCACCGGGGGTCGACCCCCAATGAGGTGGCACGCCGTAATTGGACAAAAAAAAAATTGTTTTATTTTATTTTATTTTTTTTTTTTTTTGAGTTTCAACCAGTGGGAGCTCGCCACCTCACTGGGAGTGCGACCCCCACCGGAGGTCTGTAGCATCGTTGCAAGTTTAAAACATCTCTCACATAGCTTTCAAATAATCAACTTTTTTCAATTTATTCAAAAAAAAAAAAAAAAAATTAGTCTAATAATTATAGGCAGAAGTCACACCTAACAATCTCTCTAAAAACAAAACTACAAACAACTCACATAAGTTGCACTAAACAACCCCATTAATGGAACCAGGAATTGCAAGCAAGAGCCAAGAGATTGGTAGAAGAATCAGACAACAGAGTGCTGTGGATGCAGCCATCAAAGTTGTGGATACAAATATTTGTTTAAATTAAATTATTTTAGATTATGAAATCCCACATTGTACCAAAATTGAATGTAAATATACAAATCAAAAGAAAAAAACAAGAAGATTGGGAGGGTGAATGGAAAGAATTTTAGGAAAGACAATGAAAGAATCACCTAAACATCATTGCATCATTTGATTAGCTCCATTAAATGGTTGCATTTAATCAGAACGCAGAACCAACAATAATAGCTGGATGAAGCTAAATAATAAATAAATAAAAAAAGCAAACAAAAACCTCACAAAAGAATATGCAATTGTTCGTAAGGATTCTCCAAAAAAAAGAAGAAAAAATGTATAGTAAGCAATGGTTATCATATTTCCCTCACAATTTTAGCTTGTTCTCAACTTCACGAATGCGAAGGGCTCGTATCTCCTGTACCTTGGGGAAAATTTCAAAGCTAGGATACACTACAATATAAAACAATGTGCTCAAAATTACAATTACAGAGGATGCTCTGTATGGAGAGGAGGAAAGGGAAGGTGGAGCTGAAAACAATCATTTTATTCATTTCAATTCAATCTGAGAAAAAATAATTCCCGCCATCCCATTTAATTGTAACTGATAGAGAATATGGCTGACACTGACCCAATCGTTCAACAACATACAGGTTGACTGCTGTAATGTCCTTTCCCCCAATGAGTATGCAAGTTTGTGGGTAATGGAAAATCGTTGAGGAATCAAAGAAAAGATTCTCATGGTGATCGTGATGAGTCTTGGCGCCGAAGAGGGATGCCTTCAGGTTCAACTCCATCCTCTTCTGAATGCTTATGAAGGCGCAAAGATATGGATGGTCCAGAAGCTGGAAAGAAAGCACAATGAGATTGTTAATCTTCAATCTACAAGGAACTTTTGAATATAATAGAGAAATTAGACAAGAAAAGCAAAGGGAAAATACAGTCGTTCATGTCTTTCGTTTTGTGAAGAAGAAAGGTTCCAGAAAGAATTGTCACAAACCCACACAACTCGGTAGTAATTTGTGTTGGATTTTGATGAGCCCAGTCCTGAGCCAAGAAATAGAGAGCATTAAGAAGGCAAATCCACATCAAACTTGAACTCAAATAAAGCATTAAGAAGGATTTCCCAAATCGAACTTCAAGTTGTATGTATCCCGAAAATGCATATGAGCCTCTAGATGAAAATGACATACCCTAATGCCTTTATATATATATATATATATATTGCCCGTTTGGAAAAACTTATTGCAGTTTTGTAACTTCAAATAAGCTTTCTATATCATTGAGTGATGTTGAACTAAAAAACCATAGGTAAGATTATCATATAGTTATTAAGCACACATTCATGCTACACAAAAAGAAACTCAATTCACAAAAATCTCCACAAAAAGAGCTTATAGCCAAAATGATGTTGGGGACATGCCAAGGTGGCATCAATTGAGAACAAGAGCAAAGATTTCTTACGTACTTTTCATCACATGAAATCAAAATCAATCATTACAAGTCAACAACAGTAGGAAGTGTACCTATCAAAGTTAAAAGGTGCTAAAGGAACAATAAGAAGTCGAAACCACCACCCAAAATCTACAAATGAAAACTAAGGTATTTCCATAAGGTTAAACTTTAAGTTCCTTTTAAAGCCCCATTTTACATAAATGAAGCATGTTTCTCTTTGCATCATAATGCTTCAGAGTCACATATCAACAATTGCATTCTTTTTAGTGATGAGATAGAGCAAGCAGTTGCATCATTGTCATTTCCTAAACAGGTCCTCATTTGGCAAGTTCATATCACTTTCTTGCTATCAGAAGAATAGCACAAAAATTATGACATTCAAAGCAAAAGAAACATGCACTCGACCAATCAACAGTAAATACAGGCATATATTCAAATTAACTTTATATCATAACTAGCCAAGGAAGAATCACTACACTGTAGGTTGGCAGAGAAATAATACCTTAAACATTATAACACTTGCCACAATAGTTAGAGTTGTAAACATCACATAGTAGATAGGTGATACGACAGCTGTGTTGAAAGTATCAAGAGCCTGCAATTGAGACATAAAAAAGCATAATTTCCAGTAGAAACAGTAAACAATAAAGGAGAAGTAATACTAGTAGTAGTAAGCAATTAATGACTAATGACAACCACCACACACAAAAAAAAAATTGATTATATTTTGATTCTTTATGGGGAATCACTCACACCAGCAGGCAACCAAAAAGAAATATGAAAATGTTCGACAGCCAAAAAGATTTACATAGAAGACACGGCCAGAACAATAATATTTGGCACTTCACAAGGGCATGATGTTGACGATGAAAAAACAATGAAAACTTAAATCCACCATATTTTTCAATTGAATTTTGTATAAGGACAAAAGAAACAGGAAAAAGATAACAAAGAGATGAGAGAGAAGCACTGTAGAAAAAAAGGAAGAAAATAACTAGGATTCTCTCCCGTGTAACTTTAGTTATACTTGATTCCAACAATATTACAAAAATACCCATTAAAGCGCACACATAAATAAATAAATAAAAGATACATTCCAACACTCCCCCTCAAAGCTGGTACAAAGATATCACACTCACACGTACTCTGCTTGGTTAGAATATTATGAAACACTTTACTTGATGCTCCCTTTGTCAAGATGCCATCCAGTTGATCTTTGCTTTGGTCACACATAAGGAGTACAAGTAAGCTCGACATTTAACTTCTCTTTGATGAAATACCTATGAATCTCAATATGCTTAGTCCAATCATGTTGAACTAGATCGTGAACAATACTTTGATAACCACTTTCTTCTTGATCATCTCAAATTATGACAATATCATCAACATATACAATGGTAGTGCGAGAGATGATTTTTACTAAGGGTGAAAGAATAACCGGAAGGACCGACCAAACCGACCGAACTGACCGAACCGAACGGTTTTCGGTCGGTGTTCTAAGTTTTCAATCGGTCGGTTCGGTTCAGTTTATTTTTTTCTGTACATTCGGTTTGGTTTATGGTTTTTGGTTTTTTGAACCGAACCGAACCGACTTATATAATATTAATAGTCTTAAAATCCTAGCCATCCACGTCGCATCATCTAAGCCGTCCGCGTGTCTCACTATGTTTAAAAAAAAAAAAGAAAAACACACACCACACATACACGGTTCACCAACCCACCACACACCATAGATTTTTTCTCTCTCTTCGTCTCTTCGTTTTCTTCCTGAGAAGAAGCTCTCTCAGTTTCTCCATTTTTTCTCCATTTTTCTCAGACTGTCACTCACTCTCTCTCACGGCCCTCTCTCGCCATCTCTCTCTCTCTCTCTCTCTCTCTCTCTCTCTCTCTCTCAAGAATCAAACGAGAGCTCTCTGTTTCAAACGAGAGACACCGACCATCACTCTCTCTTCGCACTTCCTTCACTCATCAACGAAGCAGACGATGAAGATCTTGGTGGGTTTGTAGCAAAATCAACAAGCAGAAGCTTAATCAAAACCCTAAGGTGATTTTCGAAAACCCTTTTATTGATTGTGCCCTAATTTTCTAAATCCCTTTTATTGATTGTGCCCTAAAGGAGTTTCTTTGTTTCTTGTTATTAGTAGTAATTTGAGGGCGGTGTGCTACATGTAACGTTGTTATTTATTTATTTTTTTGTATTTGGAGAATCCCTTTCTGTTTTTTGTTATTAGTAGTATTTTTTTTTTTTTTTTTTTTTTTGGATTCTGTGTGTTAATGATTTGGTATTGACTATCAATAGAAATAGCATCATAGTTGTGAAACATTCATTTTTTTTTTTTAAATTGTTGTGCTAATGATATATAAAGAAATAATAAATATACATATATATAAATATAATGGTTTGCAAATTCTTGTTGTTATTATGTTTAGATGGATGAAAATATGCTCGAAGTGCCCAATGAAACTGAAGAACCTACGGTACAAGAAGCTAAGGAAACAAGCACAAAAAATAAATTTGATAATGTGGGTAAAAGACTACGGTCTTTGGTTTGCGATCATTTTACGAAATTGTATTGTGAATCTGGTAAAAGACCTAGGGCCTCTTGTAATTATTGTGGTGTAACTTATACATGTGACCCGAAGATTAATGGGACAAAATCAATGCTAACTCATATAGAATCAAGGTGTAAGAAGTATCCTTTAAGGGAAGATGCAAAGCAAAGTACCCTAGGTTTTAAACCAAAAAAGGATGGTGATGGAGAAACAAGTGGTAATCTTGTAGCTGTAAGCTTCAGTGTTGATGCATATAGAAAGGCCCTAACAAAGATGATAATAATAGATTAACTGTCTTTTAAATTTGTGGAGGGTGAGGGATTTAGACAATTCATGCGTGTGGTGCAACCAAAATGGTTAAAAATCCCTTCTAGGATTACCGTTGCCAAGGATTGTACGCCACTATATTTTAGTGAGAAGAAAGTTTTGAAGAATGCACTTAGAGATCAACAACTATGCCTTACCACAGACACTTGGACATCCGTTCAAAATCTGAATTATATGTGTCTCACCGCACATTTTATTGATTGTGATTGGAAACTTCGCAAAAAAATTCTTAACTTTTGTGTAGTTCCTAATCATAAAGGTGAGACACTTGGTAAGGTGATTGCGCAATGTTTGGTAGAATGGGGGATAGATAAGTTTCTCACAATACAGTTGATAACGCAAGCTCAAATAATGGTCTCATTAATTTTTTGAAGCGAAAGAGGAAAACTAGGAAGAGTACCATATTAGAGCATGAGTTTTTACATGTGAGGTGTTGTGCTCACATATTGAATCTAATTGTTTGTGAGGGATTGAAAGAAATTGATGACTCCATAACAAGGATTCGGAATATTGTGAAGTATGTGAGATCCTCTCCATCTAGGATGGCTAAATTCAAATCGTGCACTGAAACGGAGGACATTGAGTGTCATGGTCAACATATTTCATGTTAGAGCGGGCTTTACCATTTCAAAAGGCTTTTGAGCGGTTAGAAGATGAGGACACACACTTCCGGTTAACTCTTAGAGAGGATGAGATTGGTGAGGTTGGTGAAAATAGTGAGGAGGGTGAAGTTGGTGGTGAGATTGGTGAGGAGGGTGAACTTGGTGAGGGATTTAGAGTTGGTCCAACTAATAGTGGAAAAGGAAAAGAGAGAAGAAAAGCAATTGGGCCACCGACAAGTCATGATTGGATGAAAGCGAGGTTGTATGTCAAGTTTTTAAAATTGTTTTACAATGCCACATTGCGTTTTTCGGGTTCTTTGTATGTTACTTGCAATGCATTTTTTTCGGAGATAATGTTGATAAAAAGTGCAATAACCGAGTTGTGTGACATGATGATCTAAGTTTGAAATTATTGGCACATGGCATGAGTTCAAAGTTTGACAAGTATTGGGGCAAGTTTGACAAGATCAATTTGCTATTGTTTGTTGCTATTGTTGTTGATCCTCGTTACAAACTTAAATATGTGCAATGGTGCTTGGAAGAAACTTATGAAACTCAATATGTTGATGGTTTGGTAAACAAACTAAAGAGAGGATTGACAAGGTTATATGAGTGGTATGTTTTGAATGTTCAAAATGAAAGTATGCAACCACAAAATATGGAGCAGCCATCAAGGGAAATGAATTTGGATAAAGATCATGACACGGATGTCCGAACAAAAATGAAATCCAAGTTTAAGATGCATTTGAAAGAAGAAAATCATATGGTTAACAAGTCCGAATTGGAGAGGTATTTGGTGGAGGGTTATGAAGAAGATGATGATAATTTTGATGTATTGGGTTGGTGGAAGACTAATTCCACTAAGTATCGCATCCTCTCTCATATGGCTCGTGATGTTCTAGCTATCCCCGTGTCCACAGTTGCCTCAGAATCCGCTTTTAGCACAGGAGGACGTGTTCTTGATCCATTTCGCGGCTCTCTATCACCATCTATGGTGGAAGCTCTCATTTGTGCACAAAATTGGTTTCGTTCCCCATCTCAAATCAGTCTTACAGATCAATTGGAAGAATTGGAGGAGCTTGATTCAGGTATTTTTTTTCTTAAGTCACAAGTATTTCTTATTTTCTTTTCTTTTTTTTTTTTAATGAAAATTATATGTTTAACACTTTAACCTATTGTGCATTGGGTCTTTTTTTAGTACTTATGGAAGGAACAAGCAACAAGGATGAAACTGTTATTGATTGATGCTTGAAAGCAAGGGTAAGAAATTGAATAGTTGATGTAATTTTTTTTTTAATGTTAAATTGAATTATGTTGATAATAATTTTATTTTTTTTACAGGCCTCTTTTGCTTGCTTAGTTGGAAAGTTCATGTTGTTGCTGCTTGCCTTAGATGGTTTCTATTTTATGTTTTTGAGTTTTGAGATTGATTATATTAATGGTTTGTAATATATATTAAGGCTTAGACTTGGACACATAGTTTTATGGTTGGATTGGATATATGGTTGGTTGATGGCTTAGACTTAGACTTGGATACAAGGCTTAGACTTTATGGTTGGATATATGTTATTTTTCATTTTTTGTTGGTATATGTTAATAACAGGGCAGACCCAAAATGTGAGGCCCCAAACTTATGCAAGAATTACATGGCTTTAGGCCCAAATTTTATGCAAATGGATAAGAATACAGGCCCAAAATGTGAGGCCCAAACCTATGCAGGAATTACATGGCTTGAGGCCCAAATTTTATGCAAATGGATAAAAATATAGGCCCAAAATGTGAGGCCCAAACCTATGCAGGAATTACATGGCCTTTAGGCCAAAATTTTATGCAAATGGATAAGAATATAGGTCCAAAATGTGAGGCCCAAACCTATGCAGGAATTACATGGCTTGAGGCCCAAATTTTATGCAAATGGATAAAAATATAGGCCCAATATGTGAGGCCCCAAACCTATGCAGGAATTACATGGTCTGAGGCCCAAATTTTATGCAAAATGGATAGAAATATAGGCCCAAAATGTGAGGCCCAACCAGCAAAAAAAAAAAAAAAAGACCAGAAAAACCGAAAAAACCGCACCGCACCGTAATAAACCGTACCGCGCCGGTTTATGTCATTTTTCTGGGCGGTTCAGTTCACAAATATGCAAAACCGAAATTACCGGTTCGGTGCAAAACTAGTGAAAAAACCGACCGAACCGAACCGATTTCACCCCTAATTTTTACTTTAGGAATTCACCCTTTAGAGAGGCTAGGATGACTCCTAAAAGCACATCATTGTGGGGATACAAGTTTTTCAAAGGACTTGACTACGTAGATGTTTGGAACATCTATCACGGCATAAATGAAATGATAGATGTCCCAAATATCTAAAAACAGTCAAGTACTCAGAAAAATTTGTATCCCCACAATGATGTTCTTGTAGAATTCATCCCAGCCTCTATCAGGGTGAATTCCTAAAGTAAAGTTCATCTCTCACACTACCGCTTACTGTCATCTTCCTCGTGGTTGGGTATTGTAAGAAACAATGAGAGCAAAAAAAGTTGCACCATAATCCAAATCTAGTGTTACAACTAAGAGAGAGCGAATTGGAAGAAAATTTCAGTGTGTGTGAAACCAGGTAAAGGGACATGGATGGAGTACCATAAATTAAACCTTTCCCTGAGACAAGTGACAAAGAACCATTGAGACTCTTAAGTTTGTTTATGCCTAAACAAGTGTGATAAAAAGATAAGAAAGTGAAACAACCAGTCATATGAGTTGAAACTCCATAATCAATGATCCAAGGGGGTTGAAAAGAATTACTAGAAAAAACAAAGGAATCAGGCAAGTTACTTGAGTGAGCATAAGAGGTAGAAGCGGTACCCAGTAAAGTCATAAGATGTCTGGAAGTCTCAATCTCATCCTTAGTGAGAGCCTCCACCTGTGAAACTGATGAACCAGGAGTAACAGTGTCACTACTAGTAGGCTCAACCAGTAGTATGAAGAGAATGAGGACAAGAATTTCCATTTGTGCAACCTCCTCTACCCTTAGATGGACCAGGGCCTGTGAATCTCCAACAATTCTCTCTAGTATGTTGTGGCTTGTTACAAAAATCACAAAATAGTGTCTTTGTCATCAGAAGATGAATCTAGAGTCTAGAGTCTGACCAACACATCATGGGCTTTCTAACCCCTTTATTATCTACTTGAAAAGTTGTAAACAGTGCAGATCCCTATATGACAGGATGCATCATCACACCTCTCCTACTTTCTTCACTCTAAACATAAGCATACACATTGTAAAAGAAGGACGACTCCTTACCTAAAATATAAATGTGAACTTGATCATACTCAAAATTAAAACCAGTCAAATTCAAAGACACTCCTGCTCAATGATCTGATAAAACATCAAAGCATCTATTGGACTTGCAACTTGAAAATTCTGATAGTGATCTAGCAATAGCTAGAGTTGTGTGAAAGTAAGTTATGAAGCATAAATTTGTACTATGTTTCTCCTTTTTTAGTAGGTCTGAGCTGCTGCATCCCAAATCTCCTTTAATGTTTTTATAAATATATAATCACAGCTAATTTCTAGTTGCAGTGAGGGAACAACCAAGATATAACTGTGGAATTTATTTGCATCCCATCAATCAAATAAAGGATCATCCCCTGATTGTGCTTTAATCTTCCCCTTTAGATGACCCAACATCCCTTTTCTCTTAATAAAGAGCATCGCATACTGAACAAATTAGGTATTTAATGTCTATCTAATTTCACAATGGGGATTTGAAGTATAGGGTTGGGGTTTTGTCTTTTTTGGTGTGGGTGACCTTGCTTGCCTCTGACATCTTGAGACACCCTCAATTGCACCTCAAGTAACTCCAAACACAACAAATCTAGGACAAAGATAACAACCACTGCAGCAATATAGACAGCCAGAGCCCCAAGATACAAGAAAATCAAGAGAAAAAAAAAAACATAACCATTTCCAATCAAAGGACTCTGGACATAAATACACTTTTTCAACAAGGATATGTTCAAATCTTCTTGGAGAGTGTCAGGCAGCTCTTAGATCTTCTAGTGGGCAACCTCTCAATCCATTCCATGCAAAGATGCAGCCCAAAAATGCATCGATATGCATTTTCTAAAAATTATCCTTATTATTCCAAAATAAAAGGTTAAGAAGATATGGGCAACCAATCTCAAAATAATTTAGCAAAAATATGGGTAATCACCAAAGCGAGCTGATCATGTTTGATATTTTTTCTTCATTTTGCACCAGCAAGTAATCTATGTTCTTTGCACAGTAGAATTCAGAATCCCTACATTGCTCTGATACCAAGTTGAATTTCATATAAGGACAACAAGAAAGACAAAAAAATAAGGAGAGAGAGAGAGAGAGAGAGAGAGAGGGAGAGAGAGAGAGAGAGAGGAACAACAAAGAAAATGAAGAATGTAATTGGGGTTCTCTCCCTCGCAACTCTTATTTGTAATTGATTACCCTTTAAGCACACAGAGGCATGTAAACAAAAGAAGATACATTCCAACATTTTGTACCCTCGAGCTGCTGGAATTCAACAAGCAAGAATCTCAAACTTCAATTACTGATTCGCTTAAAACTTCTGACATTCTATTGATTATCACTCTATAGCTCAGTCATAAGATCAATTCACTTATTTGGATTTTATTGTTTATTTAAGCATGTCCATCAAAAAAACTGACACTACAGTAAATTAAAATAATAACTAAAAAGGAGTGAACAAGTTATGGAAAAAAATCCACCACTTTCAAGTAACTACCAGAACATAGTCCAAAATAATAAAGTTTCAAACTTGAATTGCTAAAACAGCACCGAGAATAAATTACCTTGTTTAAATAGTTCAATTGAGTAAGTACACAAGAAATCACGACAATGGCGAAGACCCACGTCTGAGGATATAATAGCTGATTAATTCCAGAGAATGTCAACTTCAGAGCTATCCCAAGGGCTCTCACACTCATAACCTGTAACAGCACACAAAAGAACAGTGAGAACAGTACGAATCCTGGTAATACCAGAATAAATAAATCAAATACAAAAAAAGCCACCAGATCACCTACCGTGAGTGAGCCTACAAGTGAACAAACCCCAATGTAGGCAATTATATATGTCTGCCCATACTGTGGAATAAAATAGATTATGATTATAAAAGCTGATGCTATGACCAAAGCTGCATATACAAGGAAGCCTGCAGCAAGAAAAACAATAAATAATTATACTCAAATGATATTTTGAAATAAGCTACAGTATCAATAATATTTAGTAGAACTGAAAACTGCAGACTCACCATTACTTTGTTTACATAAAAATATATACCTGGTTCAGTGGCAAGATCCCAAACTTCCTTCACAGACTCGATTTCACGTTCTTGAGGAGCATGTAGCACTATGGTTATTGAACCAACAACGCACAAAACACAACCAAGAATCCCAAAAATGTGTAGTCTCTCCCCTAAAATAATATGCGCTAGTGCAGCACTGCAGGAAATTTTGAAAGTTAGCACTGAAAATATTAAAGTTAAAAAATCAAATTTCATGTTAAATTTTTCCTCATGCCTGATGATGATACTGAGTGCACCAAGGGGAGTGACTAGAATAGCTGGTGCAAATGCATAAGCAGCAAAATTAGCAATTTCCCCAACGATCACTGTCAAAACGCAACCATTAACATTAGAACCTCAACATTGCAACAACAGTTTCCCAACTAAAATATATAGACTCCAAGTGCCGATTCCACAACGTTAAAGAGACAAATATATGGTATAAAGCTGGAACGATCAAATGAAGAGAGTGAAATGTCTGCAAGAAACCTTCTACACAAATTTTTTTCAGAGAGAAAAGGGAAGCAAGAGGAACTAGAAAGAACTAAATTTTTCATAGGGAAAAGGGAAGCAGGGGCACTACAAAGAAGCTAGCTACTGTAAAAACAGGAGGCAAAGACTGCCATAAAGATGTCAAACAGACCTTTGGATTTACATAGTGCCCGGCAACAACACTGATGATAGATTTTGCTCCAATTGTTTATTAAAAATTAAACACCTTACACCCCATGTATCGAGCAACAATTGTATTTATACCCTTAACGCTAACTATAACCACCATTAATCTTTCAGTGAATATTTAAACATGAAACCATGTTATCTTGAAGAGAAAAATCTACAGATGATGGTTAATTTGTTACAAAACAATTGCTTACCAAGTCAATGGGGGTGTTTGGTGGGGCTTTTTTGAGCCAGCTTATGGCTTCTGGCTTTTAAAAAGTTATTTTGAACTGTTTGGTTAAACTTATTTCAAACAACTTCTAATTCTAACAACTTATTTTAAGTCAAAAAAGCTGATTCTGAGAAACTACTCACCCCTTTCTTCTGATTATCAGCTTCTGCTGTGGACATGTTAATTCACGGTTATACTCTTTAGATTTTTTTATTTTTTATTTTTTTAAAAATAGAAAAAGACCCAAATGGACTATAAAATATTATTATTATTTTTTATGAAAAATGTAGACAAATAATGAATAATAAAAAATAAAAATTAATTGAAAAAGCTACACACAGCTTATTTAACAAACACTATTCAGCAACTTAAATCTATAATCCAACAGCTATACCAAACAGATTAACAGCTTCTGATTAAAGTCATAATCTATAATCTGTTAAGCTATAATCTATAATCTGTTTTAACAGCTACACCAAACAGAACCAATGTGTTTTGTTTTATTCATTGTTTAATTACTAATTTTATTATTGGTGCTTTTCTGAATTTGCCTTGTGATTTGTAGGATGTGTAATATGAAAAAATTGATAAGGAAGTTTCCACACAATAAAAGGTAAAACAGGGGGTAAAAAGGAAAATGTGAAGTTTGAATTCTAGAGTCATTGACTCCTGTGCAAGATAAAATCCTTGACTGCAGAAACTAAGAACGGGAAGATTATGAATTAAAAAAACTTTGGAAACTGAGATCACATAATGCAATAGCAATATAGCATTAACCAGTTTAGTTTGTTAACTATTGAAAGGAAAGCACAAAATAAACTCACTTGTTATCATGCCAGCCCACCAAAGTGGCTCATACAAATATGAATAGCCTCCAACACCTGTAAAAATAATTAGCAAATATAATAATGGTATGTTGATCCAACTTCATAGTGGAAAATTAAACAATTTAACGCAGACTATACAATAAGTGACACTTAAAAAAATGAAAAAAAAAAGATTATACAATAAGCAACATGTTATAGGATGTATCTTATCATGGCATGCTAAACATAATCTATGTTTTGGCCATTACCATAGCCAAAAAAAAAGACAGAACATAACAGTATATTGAGAATGGAAAAGGATCTCTCTCTCTCTCTCTCTCTCTCTCTCTCTCTCTTCTTTTGTGGCTGTTCAGGGGACCAGGAGAATTTGAGCAAAGCTCACACTTCAATGATTGTGTCAAATCATTGATGAAGTCATGATTTTCAACTTAAATAAACTCTGCCTTTTAGTAATGGAAACACAGATTTGAACGCAAAATAACTTTTGTACTAATCATCAATCTCCAATGATCAGTACTAGACTACCAGGTCATGCATTTTTTAAATGACCGCATTATTAGACGAGGTAGGAGATTGACAGTGGTAAATTCTTTTAACTGAAAGAGAGTATGTTTCTACAAATTGCATTCGACATCATTTATATTACAACTTCAGTTTACATCTTCCTGGAATGAACTGCAAAACTCATAAGGACCATAAACCCACTGCACTACCCATCATTCACTGGATGCTTGATAATTCTCAGCAAAAAATTTCTTAATTGGACACATGACATGTATCACATACAAAGAAATTTAAAAAGAAAAAAAAAACAAAAAGAAAAGAAAAGAAAAGATGCTACATCACAGCAATGCAAGCCTCAACCAATTTACCCATGGATAGAGATACAAATGACTGGCTTCAAGTGACCGCACTGGCATTTTTAAAAAGAATAATAATGGGGTTCAAAATAAAGGGAAGGGTCAGGTTTTAACATAAAAAGTAATGAGACTGAACAATGTCTTTTATAATTTTGATTCATGGCGAATTTGTTATATGATTTTACTTAATAATTTTTTGCATGGAGTAAATCTATATTATTTGTGAGCAAGTCAATATTAGTACATTATATTACTTGTTAATTGACCACCACTGAAAGAAATTTCTGGCTCTGCCACTGAGTTCACTACTTGCCAAACCAAGCCAACTCCAATTCATCATGCATACTTGAAAATACAAAAACGTGAAAATCAAATTTAAATATGTGATCTCAACCCAACATCAAGGCAAAGAAAATTCACATGAAAATAACAATCTATCTATATATTGAACTTTTAATTAATCCCAATTTTCAACTAAATTAATACAGATTACAGTATGCCACAACCAAACCAAACCAGACTAAGGTCTATTTTGGCAACTCACTATTTTAGCCAAAAAGCCAACTCTTCTCTTTTTTGCACATTTTTCGTAAAAAAAATAAAAACGTAAGTCAATTCCCTAAACAACCATAAGCCTTTCGTCCCAATGCAGTGGGGTCGGCTACATGAATTACTTTTTCACTATTTTGATCTATCAAGGACTATATGCTCAGTTAAATTAAATGAATGCATATTATTTTTACTAATCACATCCATGTTAGTTTAGGTCTTTCCCTCCCTCTTAACATTTTCACTTATGGTGATCATCTCCAGTGGCGGAGCCAGGACTTTGATTCATGGAGAGAACCATTAAATTCAATTTTGAGAGATATATCAATCACAATCTAACTAAATTCAATTTTCATTTGGTGATAGAATGACCCAAAGATCAACGTGATGTCAAGATTGTATGATAACAGTTATGTTTCATTTAAATGATGTATATTTTTTGTTGGTTTGCTAGTTTAGTTTCTGAATATGATGATAATCACAATTTAAAATGTGATCACATGCAAACAAAAACACAAAAAAGATATATGTAGAGAGAAAAAACTTATAAAAGAATATTTTAACAAAATTAAACAATTAAACATTTATAGTGACAAATTGTAAAGAATTTATTAAAAAGAAAGACAAAAAAATAAGATGAAATATAAGGGTTTAGTAACATATTTGAAAGTTAAAAATAGTTAAATGGAAAAAATTTCTAATTAGAGGTAAAAATGTGATTTTCAAAAAAATGAGAGGGTCACGTGTCCCCCCAGTCTCCATGTGATTTGTCGTTGATCATATCACTCTCCCTTACAATTGCATCTACAGGTCTCCATTATACATAATCAAACAATTTTGTTTATTTTCTCTCAACTTATCTTCAATTGGTGCTATTCATACTATTTCACATATATATTTATGTCTAATTCTATTTTTTCTAATTTTACCACATATCCATCTAAGCGTCCTCATCTCATCTACACTTATTTTATATGTATGTTATTTCTTAATTGGACAACATTCTATCCCATAAAACATTGTTGACCTTATAGTAGTTCTATAAAATTTTCCTTTCCATTTTGTTGAGATATTTGTCGAGCACAAAATATGTTTAGATATACTCCTCCATTGAACCAACCTACTTTGATTTATGGTTCACATCACCTCTAACCTCTCTGTCCTTATCAATGATCAAACCTACGTAACAAAAATGTTCATTCATTGTTATGTCCACTTGTCTTTCAATCTTCACTTGTCCATTAATTTTACTAGAGTTACATTCTATTTATGAAGCACGAATACTCCAAAGATGTTGCCGTACAAGTACCAGGTACGGGTACGGGTGCATGCGTAGTGGGTACGGCAAAATCATACTGGGTACATTTTATACAGTCTATATACGTCTGGTACACAATTGGGTATGCCAGGTTGAAAACATAATTTTCAAACTTTTAAAGGGCATCGGAGCAATTATTTTTTGCCCATTTTGAAAAATTAAATAAATATGGGGTGTTTCGTAATAACAAAAAACATAAAACAAATTATATCTATTGTTTGAAACCCTAAGTCACTGAGAGAACACTTCCAGTTGAAGAACAAAGTGGCCGAATCAACTCTCCATCAAAGACGACACTGTTGGTCGACGGCGAAGCTCGATTTCCGGTGAGTTTTTCTTAGTTCCTCTTCTTCTTCGATTCTTCTTTCTCTTTCTTCTTCCTTGGTGATTTTTTTTTCCCAGATTTTTGTTTTTTCCTCTTTTGATTCTTTCAAATTTTGTTTTTTTAGATTTTTCTTCCTCTTTCTTTAATATTCTCTCTTATTTTTTTAGGTTTTTTTTTGTATTCCGGTGACTCTTTCTCTCTCTATATATATATGGTTTCTCAAAATTCTGGTCAAATTTTTTTTTTCCATTCTTTTTATTCTGATCTACCGTTTCAGATTTCACCCACTCTATTATTTGAGTAATTTTGCCCTTTCTTCTTACTGTTGTAGACTTGTTGTAGTAGACAATCAGAATTATATAAAATAAAAGAAAAAAAAAATTTAATTACTTTCGTCATAGTATTGATGTTTTTAAATTGTTATTCGAATATTTGAAAATTATATACTTGAATGAAGTGAAAGAATTCGCAAATTATTTTGGTATTGTTGAACAATGATTTATTTTTTAGTTTTGTAATTTCTCTTTTTAATTATGGTATTGAACTTTGATTTGTATGTTGAATGTTTATATATAAATTTAAAATATATATATATATATATATATATTGACGTATCCCAGTCGTACCCGTATTTTACTTATTTTTAAATTTGACGTATCAATATACCCGTACTGTACCCGTATCTATACCCGCAACCGCACCCGTGCTTCCTAGCATTCCATATATGCAATTTTAGTTATACTAATTTCTTTTTTAGTGCCACAATTAGAACTATATTAAAGCCCTAATAATACGTCCTTTAAAGTGTCATTCTTTTGGAAGTGAATATCATATCATATAAAGCAAAAGAGTTCCAATCCAACACCATAGAATGTAGTTGTTCTTTGGAATCTACAAACTTACCTAAGAATCAACCCCACAAGATTGACCCAACTTATGGATGCAAGACAGCCCTGTAAGAGCTATTCTGGGGCAGTGAAAGTACCCGTGAACAGTGTTTGGGCCATTAAAGTGCAAAAAATAAAAGAGGGAAAGAAGGAGAAGAAGAAGATAAGTCTAGGAAGCAGTGAAAGTACCCGTGAACACTGTTTGGGCTGTTAAAGTGCAGAAAATAAAAAAGGGAAAGAAGAAGAAGAAGAAGATAAGTCTAGGAATCATTCCTAGAATTCCTTAGGCATCACACCTAGGGTCTAATTGCATCACACAATCCATAAAGAAGCTTCAAAAGTTCTAAAATTCTCTAAAATATCAAGTTCATTGAATTAATAGGATTACATGCCTTTATATAGAATTAAGAACTTTCTAAACCAATTAGAACCAAAAAAAGAAACTACTATAATATTTTAGACTTCCAAAACTAATTTAAGATCAAATAAGAAACATGAATAAAACATAATTAAATAACTTGATCCACAAGACGACCCATGGACGACCCATATAACTCATGTCCAAAAATTATGAAATTACCAAAATACCCTAAACCTTAGTTGCAGGAATCGTGCAACCAGGTGACGAATCTTTATAAGAAACACGGAATCGTGTTTCTTAGAAAGAAATGTGTAAGAATTGTGTTTCCGTAGAGAGAGAAACGCGATCCTTTCCAAGATGGGATCATTGGTGGCTATGAACAAAAACCCTAGCCTATTGGTCGACAAAGAGAGAGAAGAAAGAAGGTGAAGAAGAACTTGAACATGTTGAAACTCAAGAGGGTGAAGTTGAAGCCCTAGATCGAGGTATGTCCTCCTTTGCTTCGTTTTTCTTCTTCTTTCATCACTTCGAAGGCCATCTCTCTCTCTCTCTGTGCTTTTCGTTTCTCTGTCGCAGTTCGTCTCTCTCTCTCTCTCTCTCTCTCTCTCAGATCATCTCTCTGTCTCTGTTTTTCATCATCTCTCCCTCTGCTTTTCCCTCTCTGTTCTTGCTGATCATCTCCTCTGCCTTCATTGTTGCCCTCTCTCTCTCTCTCTCTCTCTCTCTCTCTCAAGATATATATAATATAAGTAATATATATAAAAGATAATATAAGATACAACATATATAATCTTTATATAAATATATATATATGAGTATATATTATACATATTAATAAAACAAACACAAACACATATATATAGAATAAAATTAAAAAAAATTAACAATAACACATTATTTAAAAATATAATAAATAAATAAATAAAATAAAATAAAATAATTAATGTGCATTAAAATAAAAATATTTTTAAAAAAAACTTTTAATGTGTATTAAGATATATATATATATATATATATTATCGCTCCCCGAGGCGCTCCCAACCTAAGAAACTTCTATCGGCTCACGCTTCCTCACTCCCGCACCAGTTCCCACTCCCTCCCCCGCTCCTGCCCTTGCACCTGCTCCCGCTTCATGTAACTAAGTGCTAAACTAAAATAATAATAATAGAACATGACTTATAAGCTTAAAACATAACTATCCACGGTCCCAAATGAGTTGCTCATCATCCAATGCATGCCAAATCAAAGCTTGGGCCTTAGAAGCATCTCTTCCTCGTCTCTTGTACACCTTAAGAGGTTGTTTCCACTTGCCTCCATCACTTACCTTCTGATAGATTAGTTCACATTGACTTTCCACAGACCCTTGAAGTTGCTTGATAATTCACTGAATTGCAAAATAAAAACTCAAAACCATGGCATGACTTCATACTTCCATAACCTATCTAAACAATCAAGCAAAAAGCAAGCCTTTAAAATTACATGCAAAGCTAGAGATTTTCTAACGCCCAAAACGGAAAAGCTCTAGTCTTCAAACCCTAGGTGTGATACCTAAGGAATTCTAGGAGTGACTCCTAGACCTATATTCTTCTATCTTTTTCTTTTCTATTTCAATTTACTATTCTCATATTACTATTCACAGCCCTCTAAAAGTGCACTTTTCAACCTCAAAACTCTATCCAATCAACCCCAAAATCAATCCTAATCCCTTCACATACCTATTAGCCTTCAATTTAACTCTTCAAACCCTAAATTACTCACTGCTTAGGCTATCAAATAGCCTCTGTTTTCAAAATTCAGCGCTATCCTACATTAGTTTGCTATCAAAGTTTAAGGTTTCACCACTATGTTCTTACAAAGTCAAGATCCTATGTGCTACAATATGTAATACCCCATAGCAAAGAAGTTCGGATTTTGAAGGAAGGGATTAGTGTTGATTTGGGGGTGATTGGATATAATTTTAAGGTTGAAAAGTGCACTTTTAAAGGATTGTGAATAGTAATCCCAGAATAAAAAATTGAAACAAAAAAAGAAAAAAAAAAAAGAAGAAGATAGGTCTAGAAATCACACCTAGAATTTCTTAGGCATCACACCACACCTGGGGTTTAATTGTCTCACACAATCCATAAAGAAGTTTCAAAAGCTCTTGAAATTCTCTAAAATATTAACTTTATTGAATTATAAGTATCACATGACTTTATATAAACTTTAGAAACTTCCTAAACCAACTAGAATAAAATAAAAAATAAAAAAACTACTAAAATATCTTTAACTTTCAAAATCTATTTAAGACCAAATAAGAAATATAAATAAAACTCAATTAAATAACTTAACTCACAATATGACCCATGAGTGACCCCTACTACCCATGCAAGTAAATATGAAATTTACTAAAATACCTCTAACCTAAAAATCCTAAAAAATATAAAATAATCATAAAATAGGACTCTAATAATAGTAGAAACATAATTATATATGATTCCTATCAGTCTCTACTAAAATATCTTTGACTTTCAAAATCTATTTAAGACCAAATAAGAAATATAAATAAAACTCGGCCTCGTTTGGCAATAGGCTATTTTAGCCAATTAGCCAAAAAGTTACTAAATTAGCCAAAAAGCCAACAATCCATACCAAAAAGTCAAAGATTCTCTTTTCTCTCTACTTTTTGCACATCTTTTCGTAATTAGCCAAAAAGTCATTCCAAACATACAAGTTTTTTTTACCTACCTTTTTAGCCAAATAGCCAAAAAGTTACTAAATTAGCCTGTTCCCAAACGAGGCCTTAGCTTAACTCACAATATGACCCATGAGTGACCCCTACTACCCATGCAAGTAAATATGAAATTTACTAAAATACCTCTAACCTAAAAATCCTAAAAAATATAAAATAATCATAAAATAGGACTCTAATAATAGTAGAAACATAATTATATATGATTCCTATCAGTCTCTCTGTGAAATCATACCAATGTCTAAATATCATCGCTTCTTTGAATTTAACCTTCCTTGAGCTTCTTATGCGCTCCTATCTAGATCCTCTCAAGAACCCATCCATTTCAATTTAACTGAAGGCACCAGTGGCATACCCCATTAACCTAACATAGGCAGCTAGGATAAATGAACCTTGGGCAACAAGGCCTCAAGGAAGGTTAATGGGCCATTAACTATTACGTTAAAATTGGAAGTGACATTATTTAGAGCAAGAACTTTGTACTTCTTGGTCATACTTCTTGGTCCTATACCATATTTCCCAACATTTTAAACATGAAGAGAGCATTGAAAAAACCTCTCAGCTAATATTTCAAACCCCACAAAAAACCATGATGAGACATGGATCAAAGGCAGATCAAATTAATTAACTTCTTCAACCCCAATAATGCCCAACAACTGCACCACGAAAAAGTTTCTACATAAAATTGAAATAAAGGATTACGTATCCGAAATAAATCTCTGAATGTCGTTTTTTTCTAGAAATTCCCAAGATTCTGCCCACGTATTTAAGTGAAAGCACACCAAAGAAACAGTTCCCAAGTAAACCAAAATTCTCCCCTTGAGAAAGAAATTTTCTTTTGACAACATTTCATTTGAAGCTATATGGAATATCCTCAAGGCCCTACTACCTCAACACTGGAAATGCTGCACCGTCGTCGTAGTTCAACAAATTAAAATCTAAACTTGAAAGGCCTACTAAATTAAAGCCCCATAAAACTCTATGTGAAACCCCATCACAACACTTGGCCTAAACATCACAAATGTCTGTTACCGTTTAACAAATTAACAGTAAACAAAAACCCATCAAAGAGTTAAGAAACCAGCACAGTCGAATCAAATTAACTGCCAGCAAATAGAATGAAACCATGCCCCCCACCTATTCCAATGCAAATATCTCAATTACCAAGTTCTAACTATGGTTTACAAGTTAAAGCCCCTTCAATTCAACACACATTTCTAAAAACAATAGTAAGTCCCAGAAAAAAAATAAAAATAAATTAACAATTAAACAAAAATCCATCAAACCATACAAATAAAAAAACAAAATATGATTCCCATCCCATGAATTCAAACAGCCAAACCCAATTGCCTTACCAAAGAAAATCAAAGAAAGCATATAGTAAAATCCATACAAATTCCCAGGAATTCTATTTCCTGGAAGGCCCAGACCATAATAAAATTCCAAAACCCAAGTATTTAAACAAAAGAAATAGCAAAATACCGGCTCTAGTTCCCGAAGCACCAGCTTTCTTCAAACCCTTCTTCTTGACAATAAAACTAGCACCAATGAAGAAACTCGAAGACAAGGCCAAAACCAAACCCTTTACGTTGTCAGAGGACATACCTCCGTGCGTATCAGAATCCTCAGAAGTCGCCATTAACAGGTCCAAGAAAAAACAGCCAAACCCAATTGCCTTACCAAAGAAAATCAAAGAAAGCATAGTAAAATCGATACAAATTCCCAGGAATTCTATTTCCTGGAAGGCCCAGACCCCATAATAAAATTCCAAAACCCAAGGATTTAAACAAAAGAAATAGCAAAATACCGGCTCTAGTTCCCGAAGCACCAGCTTTCTTCAAACCCTTCTTCTTGACAATAAAACTAGCACCAATGAAGAAACTCGAAGACAAGGCCAAAACCAAACCCTTTACGTTGTCAGAGGACATACCTCCGCGCGTATCAGAATCCTCAGAAGTCGCCATTAACAGGTCCAAGAAAACAATTTCCTTTCCTTCTTCTTATTCAACAGACAAAAATCACAACAAAACCCTTATTTCCCAATCCATCATATATATACCCATCAAACACCAACTCATCACTCCCTTTTTCTCATCTTCTACACAGACACAAACCGAAACAGAGCTATATATATATATATATATATAGAGAGAGAGAGAGAGAGAGAGAGCGTAGATCTCAAGGGAATTGAATGGTTGACGAAATGCTTGAGAGAATAAGATGTTATCAGCAGAGCAAAAGAAACGAAAGCGAAAGCGATGTATGTTTGTGCGATATATGCCGTTTGCAAGATCTGGCAGATTTACAGAGAGAGAGAGAGAGAATGCAAAGAACGACGAGAGGACATAGACAGATATGCTTCGGTGATGGAGTGATTTGTTAACTGCACTGGTTATTTGTTGCATTTAATATATTTTTATTACTTATTTTATTAATAAAAATGTATATATGCTTGTATAGCTGGTTTTTTTACTTATTAAATTTTGTTGGAATTTTTATCTGGTTGTTTCATTTAGTAAATTATACTTTGCCCTTGCAGTTTATAAGTTTTCTTTTTTTTAATATTCATTTTGGCTTTTTTTATTTTTTATTTTTTGGTAGTTGAGATTTTGCATAGGATCACTCTGAGAAGTAGTTTTATCTTTTGCATTTATGAAACAAGTTAATTGTAAATATTTTTATTATGAAGTTTGATGTAGAGATTGATTTATATCAGTACATTTGGAAAAATGGTACATAGGAACAAACTTAGTAACATGATGTTATTTTTGTATTTGAATGGATCAAATTAGTATATAATGGTTGATTGAAATGTTTTATACATTATTGGTGTTGTAAATATATGGATTATATAGGAGATTATTGCGTTAAGGTGTTATAATGCTTGAGGTTTGCTCTCTCAGTGGAATTTGCCTTGTCCGGATTCGGTTATGACATTTTTTTTGTATCAAAGCGCTATGTTATGATTCTGTAGATTAGTTACTTTAGAATTAAAATTTTTTATAAGATGTTGTAGTTAGCAATTTGATTATCTGATGATGTTTTATAGTGATATAGTTTTTCAAGATTTAATATTCTTGTTTTATAGGCACATATGGTAGTGGATTTGTTATATTTATAGATGTAAGATTTTGATATGATTTTGGGAATGGATTGGTTGGCTTCTTACCATGCTTCGGTCGATTGTTATAGGAAAGAAGTCGTATTTTCAATTTTTTGGGAACCTGAATTTAGATATTCTGGAGATCAATGTGCATCACCATCTTATATTATTTATGCTTTTACCAGTAGGCAAATGCTTAAGAAAGGGTGTCAAGGATACTTAGCTTATGTGGTTGATTCCAAAATGAGTGGTCCATGGTTAGAGGATATATCAATACTACGTGACTTCACAGATGTTTTTCCTAATGAACTACCTGGATTACCCCCAGATAGAGAAATTGAGTTTGCTAGTGACTTAGTTCTTGGAACTGCCCATATTTGTAGTGTACCCTGTTGGACAATCTTCACTGTATTTAAATAAATTAATTCTGTTTTGGTACTAAACGACAAACAGAATATAAAAGAAAAATAAGAAATGAGAGAAAATATTTGATTTCAAAAATCAAACCAATAAATAAAAATAAATAAATAAAAATAGATTTTTTTTATTTTGTTACAAAAATAAAATCAAAATCTGATTTAAATAAATAATAATAAAACAAACAAAGAATTAACTTACCTGATTAATTTCTTGTACAATATTCTAATCAAGTCCAATGTTAGACACTGTGTCCTTAAGACAGATTCGTTCTCTCCACGGTGCTTTCAGAACGTGGACGTCTATCTCCTAGGATAAAATGATCAATAGCAAACAATAGCAGCACTACAAATTGTTTACCCAACAAACACACTAAGTGTTTACACTCTTTTTTTCAGAAAATAAATGCAGCAAAACAGAGAATTATAGCAGAGGAGAAGTATGAAAATTGTAGTAAAAAACCAAATGAAGGACTGCCTATTTATATGGGTGAAGTGGTGGCTTGGTGGCTGCTAGTTTTGAATTAAACAGGTATAACACCTGTTCAATTTAAATTAAACAGATACAAAATCTGTAGGCACTGTTTGGTTTGAATTTCAAACAATTCAAAGACCTGTTTTGGGTGGATTTGAATTTGAACAGATTCGGTTTGGACAGATCCCAAACTGTGCAAAGTTTCTTAAGAGGTGCAAACCAAAAACTTGAATTTTATTTCCAACCAAATTTTGAAATAAAAAACGGACAGATTTTATTTATAAATAAATAAAATAAAATTCAAATATTTTTTGCCCAAAAAGATTAGTATTGGGCCGGATAAGCCCAACCCAACCTCACAATACGCACCCGCACCCAAGCCCAGGCCCAGCCCGCCCGAGGCGACAGCGGCGCGCACGCGTGTGGTGAGTTTTTGGTCCAATGGGTCTAGTCTATTTTACCCATAACCTCCTTCTCTACAAAACTTGGGTACCCTTTAGGGCACGCCCCAAGTTCCAATCACATGCCTTATAAACCCACTCAAAACTTCTCACCAAATCAATGTGGGACAAGCTATTTTTCAAACCTTTAAGAATTTTCCACCAAAACTCTATTTTCATGAAGCACACTTTGGCTTCAATTTCCCATTCACTCAATAATGGTTTTGAGCAACCAAATATACCACGTGAATCACAACGCGACATAGAATACATTACCACTTAGACCCGCGAAATACGACGCATGGGTCCCACCTAAAAATTAGACCAAAGTTTAATAAAAATTCTATTTTCCAGAATTTTCAAAACCATTCTAACATACCTTACCTTATGGCCCTAGTAGAACTTAAGGAGCTCAAGATGCAATATCAAGAATTATAAATAAAGGCTTCATTAGGTCAAGTATCTCACCCTAGGGATCACCTGTGATGTTTGTAAAGAAAAATGATGGTACAATGAGATTGTACGTTGACTATCGACAGTTAAATAAGGGTACAATGTGCAATAAGTATCCTTTGCCTCGTATAAGATGATTTATTTGACCAATTTCAAAAAGCATGTGCGTTCTTCAACATCGATCTCATATAAGGGTATCATCAACTTAAGATTAAGAAAGGAGACATATCGAAAATTGTTTTTTCAACTCACTATAAGCATTATGAATTTCTTGTTATACCTTTTGATTTAATTAATCCCCACGCTACATTCGTGGACTGTATGAATAAAGTGTTCCAACCATACCTTGACCATTTTGTGCTTGTGTTTATTGATGATATACTTGTTTACTCAAAGAGTAAAGAGAATCAACAACACTTGCGAGTGTGTAGACACCCCATTTTTGACCGACCTTAAGACTCAGACGTCACCAACTGAGCGCTCGGTGATGTTGCATATTGTGCTCGTTCTGAGGTTGTGGAGTCTCGGCTGCGAGCCTTGCCTCCGGACTTCGGGACTCTTTTGTGCTTTGCCTCGGTTTGCAAACTAGGTCCTGTTTTCTCTGTTTTCTCTTCCCGAAGGGAGGGAGAGGTCTCGTAGACCATCTCTCAGTGGCCGTAGGCTACGTTTTGTGGTCGTAGGCCATTTTTTTTCCCGTTTGGAGCCTAGTTTCCGATTTTCGGAGCCGTCGGCCGTGTGCCTCGGTTCGGGACCGCTTAACTACCTCCGTTTACTCCGGTTTTTGGCACACACCTTGTTTCCTCCCTTTAGAGGGACACTGTGGCCCGGGAGACCACCTTCGTGGTCATACGCCACTTCCGGTGCCTAACAGCCTGTTTTTGGGCCCCAGACTGCGCGTTTTGGCCCCCGAACCTTCGTTTTGCATTCGTCTTGATCCATTTTCGGTAGGGACCCTATTTTCATTGCTAGGGAGGTGGTAGTATGGTGGGAGGCCACCTTTTCCCCTTGGAAACCAGCTTTCTCTTTTTCTCTCTCCTCCAGCCGGTTTTTCTGACAAAAAGCTAGTTTTTCTCACTTTTGAGCCACAATTTCTGGTTTTTCATACCACCATTGTGTTGTGCTCATCCGGGAAGCCACCAATATGGGTAGGCCGACCAGTAATTCTTCATGACCCTTTTGAACCTTGCTAAAAAATTGGTTTTTCTCTCTCATGGGTCACATTTTCTGGTTTTCCACCATACAGCTGTGTTGCACTCATCTGGGAGGCCACCTTTCTGGGGTGGCCGGCCAGCATTTCTCCTTGAACCTTTTGACCCCTGGTTGGCCGACCAGGGGGAGTGGCCGGCTGACCACTTGAACTGGTCGGCCTGCTTCTTGCTTTTTGCTTTCTCTGAATGCATCACAACTGTGTCAGCTGGGAGGCATTTGGACCATCCTCCATATGTATGGAGGATATTTGAAGCTTCCAAGAGAAGCTTTAGAGCCTCTCCTCTATAAAGGAGAGGTTTGTCTTCATTTGCAAGGGTTCAACAATTTTGAAGGCTTATACACCTCTTTCTCCCTATATCTTTACATTTGGGCTCCAAAAATCCTAATATTCTTGGCCATTTACACTACACCTCCAACCCTACCACCCCCACCATCCATTCAAACACCTTGAAGCTGATTTTCAGAGGTTGGGAGCTCACTTTCTTAGTCTAGAGTTGGCTGCATTGCTGTTCTACAAGGGTAAGTCCTCATTTCTCCCATTTTTGCATTGTTTTGCTTCATAACTTAACCCTATTTGCAAGCATTTTTGGATTTCGACATAAACTAGAAAAAGTCTTGTTTTGATCTTCTAAACATGTTTGTTTAAGGACTCTTTTCTGTTTGGGGTCATCTTCCCCCTTCCATGCTTCATTTCCTCATGTTTTGAGCCTTGTATTTGAGCATTTGCATTGGCCTTGGTTTGGCGTTTTAGCCACTAAAATCCAGTAGATTTTCAGTGACTTAGATGTGTTTTTGAGCTTCAAAATCAGAGAGGGGTGACCCTCTCACCCCTTGTTCTCTTTACTAGCATTGTTGGCCTTCCAAAGGGGCTCCATCTTTCATGTTGTGAAGTCACATTTCAAGCCCTATTTTGTGAGTTTTAAGATCTGCCTTGACTCTGTCTGGAGCCCCTTTGGCCATATTTTATGTCTATGATGCATGTGTAGAACAATCTCATTCAAGGCCTTTCAAAGGGACCTTTCATTGCATGCTTCCTAGACCAATTTTAGGATCTTTTTGGTGGGTTTTAGGTCTTTCATAACTCATTTACAGAGGTGGTTTTGCCATTTTGTTTGTCTATCATGTATGTGTAGAACAATCCCTTGCATGGCTTTCCAAAGGGGCTCATCATTCTTGCATGTGTTGACTGAGTTTCAGTGGTTATTTGGGCATATTTTGGCATGAAATACTTCTGTTTTTGGCTGGTTAGGTGAGCCCTCATATGCTTCATATAGTTGTAGAACA